TGTATGTCATATGCGTATGTATAAAGGAAGTCTTTTAGTACGTTTTAATTATTATAGAAAATTCTGAAACGAGGACTCGACTTAAAAGATCAAAGTGCTAGGGGGAAGTTATTAAGTGAAACCTTACAACTTGTTCTTACAAAAGGTACCTGGGCTTGAAGAGTAATTACAGAATTCTAATTAGGTTTAACAGGTTTATTATTTATATATAAATGGATTAATGTTAATTATTTCTTGACTCAATTAATTAATGATTAACGACCCTTGTATCGTTGTCGCTGTACTTTTTTGTAGACATTATGAACTACAGCTTTTCTCTACTCAATCGTCTCGTTTTCGTTTCTTAAACTAAACTCACACGTAACCTGACTTTCTATTGGTAAAAGAATTTTCTAAATTGGTTCAGTAGATCCATAGATTACCCCTACAACTAAATAACATTAAAAATAGACATATAAATAACATTTATTACTAACAAAACACACAAAATAACCATAATCAAAGAAAAAAAATAAATAAAAAAAAGAAGGATATTTTTTTTGTTTTAAAGAAGAACGTACGTTTTAAGCTGTGGTTGTAATCGGCGCTGGCTCAGCATTATGCTAATGAGCAGACTGTTCCACAGCGCTGGTCATCTGCCAGAGACCACAGCAGCAGCAGAACATTAGTTAAATATGCTTCAATACTACAAGTATTACCATTTTTTTATTTAAATAAAACTTTAATTTTATATTCACAAAGTCCTTACCTTACATAATAAATATTGTGCCGCGATTTAAATAGGCTTCAACTGTACCTAGCCTAGATCTACATTATTCAGTCTACAGATGACTACAAAGTAGTCAATTTGCATCACAAACCTTTGTATCATTTTAAATAGGTTTCAGTTCTCATCTCAAGCTCCAGTTGACACATTTGTATTTCAGTGATTATGCTGTTTAATAGTAAATTTATTTATTTCGTAATCCTCAACATAAATTATATACAACAACACATAATTATACTAAACATATAGCTAAAGATGGAATACATAAAGTATACAAAAAAGTTTGAACCTTTTTGTATATTTTACGAAAGGAAAAAATTAGCATGATTAAATACGTAATAATTTAATTCGGCTGCGTTGTGTGGTGAGAAAGTGAGGGTGTGTATGTGGGCTGTGCGTATGATGCAGATGATTTAGCGCTATAAATATTCTCAATAGGATAGCTTCAACATGTAAAGGTTTAAATATTGGTTATTGTAAGACCAGGCTGCGCGATAAAAAACTGTTTTTTGCATAGTTGGTGTAGATGTGAGGAACGTTATTGTCAAGGTACGATTACGAGTCTGGTAGGCAGTGGAATATGGATGTGCAATTTTCCTAAAAGTAATCTGCAATTAATTTTATTTGAGATGTCATGTAGTAGCATTATATCCTATGGTTTTTGTCGAGAGTCTAAAGTATGATGATCAACTCCTTTGGGCTTAAGCTTTTGTCGTAAGCTTTAGATTAATTGCACACTACAGTGGTAGGTTTATAATAAACGTAGTAAGTCGATAAAATAATTACGTATTTATGAAATGCCATGGTGCCGACCCGATGTCTGCTCGTTGAGGTTAACGAACTCCATTGTGCTCGTTCGCTTCGTGCCATAGTTTCAATCTAGGATTATCAGTTCTTATTGTATTCATAGTGAATGGTAAGGACAAATCCCTATACCTCTTTGTATGGTTTTTAAATAAAAAGTTTTTTTCATTTTTAACAAAATAAACTTTCATTGTATAACTGTTTCCTTTTATTACAAAAGAATACATACACATAGAAAAACCAACTTTAAACTGATTAAAATATTTACAAAAAGCCTTACTATTTCTTTTAGTATAGGAACTGACATGAAATTTTAATTGTTGTTGTGGATGTATGCAGGTCTATACAGGTCCGTTGACTACACATTAGATGTGTTTCATGTTTCTCTCAACTCATAATCCTTTTAACAGTTCAGAATATAAAACATAATATGAATGGTTACTTTCCATTAAAATATACGTGTCTTACGTAAAGCATACCCACCTCTAAGAGAGACAAAAAGTCGATGGTATATTTCAACAGAAGGTTGATCACCTACTTGCCTATTAGAAATGATCATGGAATAGAATCAGAAATCTGAGGCCCAGACCTATAAGATTGAAGCGCCATTGGCAAATAAAATAAATTAGGTCGAAGGTGAAGTGACGGATTTCAAATCAAACATATTTTGACTCGGCGCTGGTTGAATTTATCCTGAAGTGAGCAATGTTTTTTTATAAGTACGCCTGTATTAACAAAGAATAGAATCGAAAAAGTGAGGCTAAAATCAATACCATCCCGTCAACCTTAATCCATTCTATTTATAAAAACTGATAAAGTTATGTCAATACGATAACCTTCGATCAAATAGGACTATTGTTGAAGAAGGTCAGACCCGAGACAGTCATAAATACCTATTTAGTGAAACAGTTTACGCGTGCCGACCAAACATGAGTCATAGATTCGAAACATGATTTATTCATATAACATTCAAACACCTATGAAACGGAAAAATATATTTAGCCTATTGAAACCGAACCATTCAAGTGCATACAAGAAGTGTAAAGTGTAACACTAGTGGCACAAGCCTGTGACTCTCATACCTAGGCAAACATCGTTAGGAAACCGCCATGTCTCAAATAAAAAAAAAAACGATTCTATGTGTCAGAATTCGTTGGGATGATCTGAGACCAAAAATCATTTAGGGTTGTAGCGCTGTAATTATTATTATTGCTAAGAACCTATCAGATTTATACTAAGTATAAGATTTTCGTCTAGTGTGTAATTTCAAGATTAGTATTTTTTTTTGTAATTTAACATAATATAAGTATTAATAATTTTCTTTTTGCTTAATTGCTGATATTCCTCCGTATAATTTCTAATATATAATTAAACGCAAATGGTGATCAAGAATTAAAACGTCAAAAACAAATTTGATTTCAAATTTAATAAAACTCTCTGTTTTACAGTCTCTCGATTCATGATAATGGTAACAAAACAGTTGCTGACGAGTCCAATACTTCAAGGGTCATCTTCTTTAAACGCCCCTTTCGCCGTAAGTTGGCTTGAGTATGTAAAGAAACACACGTCTAAGGGATATTCTCTACTTTCTATAGTCACGATGTCCACAATTTAGACGAGATTATTATTCATAAAAAAACTCATAGGGGGACAAACGGACACCCGTTTTAGTGGATGTGTTACGGCCTTTGATCCCTCAAGATCTCTTTATAAATACCAGTGTAACACTATTATAAATGGAATATGATTTGTCTCCCTTCATCTCGTTATTGACACGATTTGATAGAAAGTGACAAGAGGAATTTTACCACAGTAAATAGTTTAAGGGTTGATTTGGAATTTGTGTTTTCATAAATTTCTTGATGTGATATTTTGTTTGATTTGCCAATTAATAATTGACAAATACTCATTGATTTAATAAAGAGGTTCTAATGTTACAAACATTTTATACATTAGAAAATATTCATGTGCCAACAGTCATAATTTGGAAACTGCATTATGAGGCTTTCACTATACAGAGATTTAGCGTTTGTTAGATTCATTACTAGCGCAAGAGGAATTACTTTAGCACCTTAGTCGCTGTTACCGTTCAGAGCTTGTAAGCAAGATTGTTTTATTATTACTTTTAATTATTGGCAACTGTGATCTTTATTGTTTTTAAGCTGTATTTTACAATGTTGTTGACTTTCTGGCTGATCAGGTCTGATTAAGTCTGATTTGATACAAATATAATAATTCCGATGAGGATCATTAAGCATAAGCGCTTCAACCCTGTGGTTGTGCGTTCGAATCACGGACTTGCACCAATGGAATTTTCTGTCTATGTGGGCATTTAACATTCGCTCGTAAGCTTAAGGAAAGCATCGTGAGTAAACCGACATGCCGTATATTTAAAAGTCGAAGGCGTGTCAGTCACATGAGGCTACACCTACAATAAGAAGAACAAATGATCTCGAAACAGATACAGAAATTTAAAGCCAAGACGTAAGCTCCATGGGCTTTTGGAGAAAATTACCTGTAAAATATAACAAGCTATTAAATCATTGGAAAAAAATGCCACAAGCACACTGACTAATGGTCTGTGTAAATACAAATTGGAATCATTATCTAATCTTATCTGAATGACGTCATACTAACAGAAATAAAATATGCACTTTTGGAGTAATAATGTGCAGAAAACATGCAGTGTAGTTTTTAAATATATATAACGCTGTGTACCTCTTAGGTAATAAGTTTGTTATTAGGACTCGTTTATATTGTGTTAAAGTAAATATTGCGTTAATAGTGTTTGCTAGAATGTGCTGTATTGTATTGTGATTACTGATAAACATTTAGGTATCAGTGTTTATCGGTTATTTGGTGTCACCGGTAAATGGTTTCGAAACAGGTTACATCATTTTCCCGTATTTTATACATACAGTATATACAATAAAATTATATATAGTTTATTACAGTCTTCTAATCTGTGAATAATCTAAAGTTTTATAGCTTTGGAAGATGAATGATTTTAATAGTTTCTGTCGTAATTGATTTACTAATTTATTTAATTAAATAAAATTAAGTTACATAAATTGGTTCTTGTTTTGTATAATTTACATTGTTGGGCGTGCTTGTGTTATTTACATCCCACATAATTATTTTATCTTAACACTATTAAGATAATTCTACAATTAAAATAATATATACCTAGATCTTATAATTAATAAAACAGCTATTGTGAACTTAGCCAGTGTACAAGTAAATAGGTCTAACTCGATAGTAATCTTATTTATTACGTGTAACGTGTTATTATTACGTTGTCGTATATAGGCCATATTAAAAGAACTACGGCTCTTTACCATTTCGTGGCTTAGTATTTTTTACACTATACGTAATTGGTTAATCTTCTTTACAGAAGTGAGTGTGGCGCGGTGAAGAGAGTCAGGTCGCGATGACGACCGATATATCGGTGTCCCGCTGGGACCCGTCCATCGGCCATGGGCAGGAGATCATCGATGAGATCGAGTACGATGGCGGCAATTCATCCTCAAGGCTTTTCGAACGATCGCGCATCAAGGCGCTTGCAGGTAAACTATTATTAAGTCCATATGAATTGGAATCTCTCGTGACATGTGAAAATTAGTATATATTAAATCTATAACGAATTAAGGTTACGTACGTTAAAGTATAAGAACTTTATGTTTCTTGTACGAGCCATGGCTGTACATTTTGCTCACTCAAGTTTTCATAGTTTTATAAGTGGGGCGATTACCTACGTAATCGTGGGAGTTACGCCTCGAGAGTATAGCCAGACGCAGGCACTCTCTTCAACATTTACATTACATTAATTTAGCATTCGTTTCAAAGAGAAATATTAATTCATTATTTTGCATATATTCTATTGTTGTACGCGAGAAGTTAATTATAGAGTAAAAATAAAAACCTCTATTATTTAAACCAACCCAATGACCCAGGAACCGTATTTTGGTCCTTCGAGCCGGATCCGAATCATGTAAATAACAAACGGGTGAGAAAATTTCTAAACCGTAGTACGTTATATTGATTTTTCTCTTATTTCAGTATAATAAATCAAATGTATAATAGATCTTTCAATTCTTTCAATTAAATTTATTATTTAATGACTGGTTATCAAAAATATCCTGTTTCTTAGATATTTCATAAGTGTTTGATTGTCCTTCATTTTAACGTGTGTGATGTTTGAGAGCATAAATAAAATAAAACGTAACGTAAATATCCTTCAACAACCGGAAGCTCAACGATTCTTAGAACAAAAATGTGGCCAGTCATAATGCTCAGTAGTTTTTTAAATTTGACCCCACAAAATTGCCAAGTTACGTACCGTAACTAATGGTGGTCCATGTTTCAATAAGAGATCGGGGAACGCATTAACTTTGGATACTATAAAATTATTGCGTCAACTTAACGACAGATGGAAGACTTATGTGACGAGGAAACGGCGGTTTTAATTAGTCATAATCAAGCCATAAAATTTTTATTACTTGAATATAAAAGTGTTTAGGGTGAAAGGCCCTTTGAGAAATACAAAAATGAAATTTAATGCGTTCAACTTACTTGACGTAATATATCTTTGATGATTTTAATAATTGCCGCATTGTTAGTAGAACCATTACTAGTAAAAACTAAAATTGGAATTGTAATATTATTATTTGTAAAATTTATGTTCACCATAATTGCCATGTATTTTAGAATAGATTATAACTTACTATAGAAAATATATTGTGTGATGTGGTGTACTTTAATTACTAAACAAATTAGGAAACATTTCTCCGTAAGTTTAAATTTCAGAGAAAAATCAATTAAGTATGTAATATATGGTCACTTATAACAATATGCATTTCTTAACGGTGTGTAACGATTACAATATAGTGATAAAGTTGTGATATGGCTAGTAGCTATTGTAAAACTGATAAAGAAGTTGTATTACAGCAATTTATTTATGATTTCGTAATATTCAGCTTCATTGAATACATTTAACATACAACAAAAGCTTATTTAATTCAAATAACTGTTACCTCTGGTCTTATCATTTATTGCGAGGCGATTTCCTTTTTCCCCATAAATAGTACGTATACTAAACATTTGGTTTTTCTAAATATTGTATTTGGTCTCTCGGTATGGCATACACTCTAACAATGCGGTTATCAGATGTGGAGTATCTGATAAAAAAACTCAGGTTATTATCGTGACGAACATTACGCGCCCAGACGCCCTCTCGACTGTCAACTGTCACGTGTTTCTCTAGAAATATGAATTTGATTTGGCTTCGGTTCCTGGTAAAGTTATGCTTTGCTAGAAATGTGATGGGATTGGGTATTGTCAATTAAATAACCCAAGTTTATCAATATTAAACCGGTTGACGACATCTGGAGCGTGCGTATCGAATATCCTTGTCCTGTGGCTGTATTTTGTCGCTCTAATTGCTGCCTCTCTTTAGTCTCGTAGTTCAGTCTGTGTTGGTGATATGACATCGACGGAGTGTTACGATCTCATAAAGAGAGGAATAGATATTGAAGTGCCAGGCTTGGAGCTTTACTATGATAAAGTGGTTTTGGAACTTAGAGGTGCGTTTGGATTGCGGTTGAGGATAAGTGCGAATAGGGCGCGGTTTGGATTTTGTTTGGCGCTCTTTGATTAGAGTTTATTGCCAGTTATTCTCTTCCGTTCTACGCCCTTGATTTGAGAACTGGCAGTAAATGTAAAATTAGAAGCATTTAATATGTATTTCTCTTTTGACGTTCATAAGAGTACATTGTGTTACCTGTATGAATAAACGATTTTGACTTTGACACGTTGCTATAGTATTTTTATGGCGCAGAGATTGCTTGCTGGCAAACAAGTAAGCAAACCTAAGCGGGAAAACTAATTAACCGCCGCCCATGGTCAGCTACGAAGGAAGACGTAAACGGTAGTGTTAAGGCTCCAGTAGATAATCGAGTTGTAAAAAATATTTGTACAATAGACGAAGTAATATGCGCTGAATGTTCGGGGCCTATTCAATTTAAGTTATCAAGGAATATCTGATGGACATTTGTATTAAAGGCTGTCGCACAAACGCACTGTGGGTGATCATTAAAAAAATACTTAGTTCTGCATAAGTTCATTCCGGTCTAGTTCCGCTTGTGTGCGGACATTTGATAGTCTTATATTACGTGCAATATTATTTACTGATGTGGGCCCAGTTGGTGATATGTCGCTGGACGCGGATGGCTGTGAGCCTTCGGGGACGAAGCTGAGATGCCCTCGTCCCGGTGTACCACATTGGCGGTTGATGTGTTAACGTTCTTTCTTATATTCTATTGCACTTGTGGTGATTTGTGATACTCAATGGTACCTCTGAACATCGGGTTAGATGTCTGGTTTGCCTCGGAAAAGTTCTAAATTTCCTTGAGTTAAACTAAACAACCAAATTACACTTTATACCTCATTTCTTATTAAGAGAAAATGCATTACAATCGTTGTAATGATTGTGGGAGCTATTTTTGTGAGGTCTTCTCTGCTACTGACATTACGGTGTTAAAAGAGAAAACCCATAACACAGGTATTATACATTTCCAGACGAACGAGAGAGCGTCCAAAAGAAGACGTTCCAGAAATGGGTGAACTCTCACTTGGTGCGTGTGGGGTGCCGTATCGGCGACCTCTATGTGGACATGCGAGATGGAAAGAACCTCATCAAACTACTCGAAGTTCTCTCTGGAGAGAGATTGGTAAGTTTTAACATGTTTACTCGTCTTGAAAGTTAAACTGAATTTCAAGTATAAAGAAGTTCAATTATTGTTTATTACGTCGCATTAGTGTTATTATTTATTTATTGTATACATCATCATTTTACTCTTCGACGTCCGATTAAGAACTTATATATACTAATACCAACGATATATTAAACATATACTATAATTATTCTATTGCGCGTATAAAACGGCACAAACCCATTCGAACATCTACCCTCCATAAGTAGCCGATAAGAATGACAACCATTTTAAATCTCAGAGGTGGGTAGCAGGACGAAACGTCGTCGGCACGTTATATTTGTTTGTGATTGGTGAACAGCATCACTACTTCAGCAAACGTTGACACGCAACACGATACGTTAGTACTTAGTAGTAGTACGTCTGTGCACTCACATTCCAACGCCTGGTTTCGTCTTGCGATGCGTTTTTACCTCACAAAAATGAAAACAAACCCAGTTCCTGTCACCATAATATTGGCATAAATGTGGGCCGATGACTTGATAGAAATAGCAGGAAAAGTCTGGCCGAATTGAAGATAGAACATCTGGAAAGGGTTGGAGGAGGCATATCCACGGCTACTTTAGCAAAATGGACGTAAATCATTATAACACACCAGGACTAATATATTACTAGCTAAAATATTAAGCATAGAAATACAGTCTAAAATTCTATTATTGAACGACATCCAAAGGACTCTTACTTGATATATAGTCGTAACATGCCGAAAATATAACACGTTGTTGTTAATAATAATATGTAAAAAATTTTTTATTAAATTTCGGATGTGTGATTAATAAATCCAGAAGCCCTTGCAAACGTTAGTTGTTAACAATTAATATTTTTTTTATGTGACACTAAAGTATAATACATTGTAAAAGTATAGTATAAAATACTACTTACTAATATATGATTGAAAAATCTAATTTTTACATGCAAATTAACAAAATGTGTTTTTTTATAATTTGCCGGTCTAATATTAATTAAACAGACTCGGGACCATTGATATGGATTATATTTATTGGTCAATATAAAATACGTTTCATTAAGCCGGTGATGTTGTATCGGATCTTTACTAATAAATTAAAAAAGATAGTTTACTGTACATAACTCTGTTTTTTAAGGGGTCTTTGACTGTACATAAACCGGTATTTGTTCTAAATGTGTCGTAAACGGTTTAGGACTGTGGAAATTGAAAAAGGCTTTATTATTACACGTTCATCTACTCTCGTGATGTTATTATTTTGTGATAACTTAAATTTATTTCCAGCCTCGACCAACGAAAGGCAAAATGCGTATCCACTGCCTGGAGAATGTTGACAAAGCTCTGCAGTTCCTGCGGGAACAACGAGTGCATCTGGAGAACATGGGGTCTCATGACATAGTCGATGGGAACCCTCGACTTAACCTCGGACTTATATGGACCATTATTTTGCGGTTCCAGGTAATTTTTATATTAAGTTGTAATAAATGATAACAGATGGCGCTGCGACTGATTGATTTTAATCAAAATTTATACTTTTCTATTTAAGAAGACCTTTTAGGCTTTCAGATTTTTATTAAAATTAGACTTAATTATTTTTAAGTTTTCATTTCCTAATTGGTTAAAATCTCTTCAAAATTGACAGTTTCAAATGAACTTTGCTGTCTGCTACTGTGTGATGTCAGATGTGGTTACATTAGAAAAATCGAATCAAAAATAAATTGGTATAAAAGAAATCGCATTTTGAAAACCGGCTGGGATGGGGTTTTTGTACATGTGTTTTAATACAAATTTAATACTGTCTAAAATAATATTATTACCACGGACGATAAATGATAAATTTATCTCAATTTTACAATTATTTACTTGAATTTAAATGTATAATGTAACAAGCTAGGTTGTTAAAGGAGTTTAATCCAGACGGGTTATCTTTTACATTTAAGTAAATAACGTAATGTAAAAACTGACAACATTTTAACAATAAACCTTTGTTATTTTTAGCTGTATTTTTATATTAATTAGTTTAGTAGTTTTCAGTTCTCTTTTGTTTTTTTATGTTTATGTTATGATTGTCTAAGAAAACTGCTTTTAGCAGTAAGAGCATTACATCTCTTCATTTATTTATTAGGTAATTGATTCGCGTATGCCGAAAACTTAATAAGATTTAACATACAAAGTCATAATTAAGTATTATGAATTCTTGCATAATTTCACGTACAGATTCAAGACATTACAATTGAAGAGACCGATAACAAAGAAACGAAATCGGCGAAGGACGCTCTGCTCCTCTGGTGTCAGATGAAGACGGCTGGCTATAACAACGTCAATGTTCGTAACTTCACAACATCTTGGCGCGATGGTTTGGCCTTCAATGCGATCATTCACAAGCATAGACCAGATTTGATTCAGTTTGAAAAACTACACAGAAGTAATCCGATGCACAATTTGAACAATGCGTTTAATGTTGCTGAAGAGAAGCTGGGTCTTACCAAGCTGTTGGATGCTGAAGGTAGGATTTGATAATAGCTGATATTTATGGGGACTTTTGGGTAACGTTTTACTAGAGGGGATACAGAAAACGTTCAATCGCTTTACATGGGTGAGGGTTCTACAAATTTGCATTACGTAATACTTGAATGATCCCTATAGTATAGAAAAGTCAAAAAATTTCCTTTAAATAGTTGATTAACCATCTCATTTATAAAAAAAATATTCATTTTAATTGCACCAGTTTTTACTAGTTTAAATTAATCATCTGTCTCTCTTTATCGCAACGTAAACACAATTGGAAGGAAGGAGACGAAACAGTACATTATTACAAGTGGAATTGGACAGTTGAATAATTGGTTTATTGAACACGTCTTATAATAAAATCTATAATATTACAGACTCTTGTGAGCGTATCATAAAATAGTGTTAATGAAAAGCAGTTTTAGTATCTTAAATGTTTTTTAAAGAAAAACAGAGTTTGCGACCAGTAGCCCCCGTTTATTATGACACCGAAGACCCATTATAACATTGATCAGATCCAGAATTATGTATGCCCCCATACCCCATTTCGTTACTTCAAACACACATATTTCACAGATATCGCGGTGGAGCACCCTGACGAGAAATCCATAATAACATACGTGGTGACGTACTACCATTACTTCAGCAAGATGAAGCAAGAAACGGTTCAAGGGAAGCGTATTGGCAAAGTTGTAGGCATCGCTATGGAGAATGAGAAGATGATGCAGGAGTACGAGACTCTTACTAGGTGAGACTATTAAAACTATTTATATGTTAAGAATTTTTATCTGTTATAAAATTGTGATTTTCTTATATTTATTAAAATTTTCAGAAAAGTTGGATTTTATTTTATGTATTTTATTTCTACATTTTTATAAATACATTACACTAAAAATTGAATAAAAGGAAATCAAGAAATATTTAAAAGCGAGCCCGAAATGGTCATACTAGCTTGCTAAACGTTAAATATTTATTTGATTATGAAATGTGCCTTATATATCCTTTATATTATTCTAATTTTAACACATAGTGATCTCCTGCAATGGATCGAGCGTACCATCGAAGCCCTCGGAGACAGAACATTCGCTAACTCATTGGAGGGAGTGAGACAACAACTAATTCAGTTTGCTAACTATCGTACTGTGGAGAAACCGCCCAAGTGAGTCACTTTATATAATGTCATATTGTATAGCCATCTTTTAGCAATTCATAACAATTTGCAAAATCTATTTAATAAACTGTTAATTGTAAACTTGTAGTAAAGCTAAAATTACATTTAAAGCCAATTGAAAAAAGTTTTTAATAATAAATTACAATTATGAATAAAATCCGCTCAATCAGCCATACAAGTATGCAAATGTCATTTTAATTATCACAATGTCATAGTAATTATCATAATGTCATAATAATAAGAACAGTTAATATTTATAATTGTTGTCAAAACTTATGGTTACACTACGTATACGTTATACATACACTTTATAACTTATGGTTATATACATATGTATATACATAGTACACTTTAAATTTTTTATACCTTCCCCTTGAAAACTGATCTCTTTTTTTGTCTCATTTTTCCCCACAGGTTTGTAGAGAAAGGAAACTTGGAAGTACTCCTATTCACTCTCCAGTCTCGTATGCGAGCGGCCAATCAGAAGCCGTATACGCCACGCGAGGGTCGCATGATACACGACATCAACCGTGCTTGGGAACGCCTTGAGAAGTCGGAGCACGAACGGGAATTGGCTTTGAGAGAAGAGTTGATAAGACAGGAGAAGTTGGAGCAGTTGGCTGCTAGGTATGTATAGATGGTTCTAAGTACAAAACGATTCCGTTACTTTAAATTATGGATATTTGATTTTCCGTTTGTCAGGTATGTTACTTGTCAACTATGTATTAGGGCCTCTTGACTGTCCAAATTATATTTTCAATAAAAAAAAAATTAAATCGATAAACGAAAATTTCATATTTTGTTACCAATTTAAATTAGTCATTTAGATTCAAAAAAAACGACGGGTTGCACTCCGGGAGTGCCGGCAGAAGTGAAAACTTGAATATTAACGTTGTGCATTTTTGATATTTTGGAATGGTTAGGGAATAATTTTGCACGAATTGCTTTAATTATCAGTATAAAAGTACTATCATTTATGTGGTAGAATACAATATTTATTTATTGCGCTATCGTACACAAACATGACGATTTATATTACATTAAATACGCCGCGCCAGCTGTCTACTCTCCATCCGTCTTACGAATTTTCGATCAGGTCACGTGTCCTGACGCGAGTTTATCATTTTTTACCCATTCCAAAAAAAGTGTACAACGCCGCTAAAGAAGTTTTCACTTCGAAACTAGCTCTAAGTCTAACATACGTCAAAAATGTATCGAAAATAGCTCAGTTTAACCTCACTTTAATAGCATGTTAGTGTAATCTTATATATTTGCATGCCAAATATTAGTAAAATGTGCGGCCTTCCTATTTTTTATATATTATAAGTTTAAAAACATTTTATCTAGCACAACACAGGGACTCCCTAGTGTGGGGCCTAGCGATAGATGAATTTGGTTACAACCCTTTTGTCATGAATAAAGTTTTTATTTTATTTGGCAACTAAAATATTTGATTTTCTAATCAAACAATGCGTTCGTTTCTCGCGCGGCGCGTGCACGTTCGAGTACGTATCTTTGTTTACGACTTTTTGTAATACAAAAACTATATAAATATTCAACGTTGTATAGACAACAATCCTAGCTCAGTTTGCAGTCGTGTTTTAATTTAAAACTTTTGTATTTCAGATTCAACCGCAAGGCTCAGATGCGTGAAACGTGGTTATCTGAGAACCAGCGATTGGTCAGTCAAGATAACTTTGGCTTCGATTTAACAGCAGTGGAAGCGGCAGCTAAGAAGCATGAAGCCATCGAAACTGATATCTTCGCGTATGAGGAAAGAGTCCAGGCTGTGGTCGCTGTTTGTGGGGAACTACAGGCTGAGAGGTGGGTTGATTATATAGAAAAAGTTTTAATAGGTGAATAATATAGTCATGTGCGTATTTCAAATTTAGCATAACAATCACAAGTTTACAGAAAATATTAACTTTGTATACTTAAATAAAATATCTAGATAAGGTGTGATATTGTACTGATCAAGTTATAATTTATTACAATTATAAATAACATGATTTTATATGCGTTCGAGTATTACGTAAAGAAATTGGGTGGTCTTGTTTAACACAGCCCAAGGTCTTGGGGTTTACCAACTATACGTTACTATTTAGCGACTTTCCGATACTTTACGCCACATAATTGTGACATTTAGGTAAAAAAGTGCACGTAACACTTAGGGGGAAGGGGGTACAGAAAACCGACGCGGCCCGTTACACTATGTTTAAAAATTGCGTCGCGTAAAACTTTATAGTGAGATTTGATCATATTATTGTAATGAAAGTAAAAAAAATAACTACTATTTGAAATATTTTATTAATTAATTGCAGGTATCATGACATAGAGCGTGTGTGCGCTCGTCGTGACAACGTACTACGTCTGTGGGCGTATTTGCTCGAGTTGCTTCGTGCACGCCGAGCTCGTCTTGAACTTAGCCTGCATCTGCAACAGAACTTCCAGGTATTCGGAGATTTATTTAGGTCTTTTTAAATGTATTTGATAGAATTTAGAATTTTTAGCTTACTGATATTGACCGAATAAGATTTACAAAAATTGTCTTTATGAAAAAAAATCATCAGAAATGCTTTTTTTTTTTTTGTGTAAAGCGATCCAAATGCTTAAATGTCAATACATATCAAATGAATGTTTATTTCAAAAGGAGTCTTTGTACACCTGGTATATATACAAATACCTAATTTAAACAGGAAATGCTGTACATCCTGGACTCCATGGAAGAAATTAAGATGCGTCTCCTGACCGATGACTACGGCAAACATTTGATGGGAGTAGAGGACTTGCTGCAAAAGCACGCTTTAGTTGAAGCTGACATCAACGTATTGGGAGAACGTGTGAAGGTATGAAAAGTTTTTTTATTGATTAGAGGGTCGTAAAAATATCGTGGGTATTAAACTTAAATTGTCTCTTTCAGGTCGTAGTTGGTCAATCTCAGAGATTCCTGGAGCAGGAGGAAGGTGGATACCGTCCATGTGACCCTGCCATCACCGTAGAGAGGATTCAGCAGCTGGAGAATGCATATGCTGAACTGGTTCATCTCGCTGTTGAGAGAAGGTTAGTCATTTAAAAAGTCTTGTTCTAAAGCATAATACATAATAATTAGTAGGGAGAATAAATATAATTACTATAATTTTTTTGTAATTTACCGACGTTTAGAAAAAAGAAAGGAGTTTATTAATTTGAAGTGTAATTTTACTTTAACGCAATTAGTCAATAAAATAATTAAATTTTTAACCCAAAAAACAGGAGCACAGAAAAAATATAATCAAGCCATTTCAATAAATTGATTGTAATTTTAATTTGTAGGAAGCGACTTGAAGACAGCCGTAAACTGTGGCAGTTCTACTGGGACATGGCCGATGAAGAGAACTGGATTAAGGAGAAGGAGCGGATCGTCTCCGTTGATGACATTGGCCATGATCTTACTACGGGTAAGTAAAATAAATAAATAATAATCTTTATTATTTATAATCTTTATTCATTTTAAAAAGATATGCATTACAATGTGTAATATTTGGGAACCCTTTTAAGTAAGAAATACCCGTGTCAGGGTTCCCAGCTCTTCCGTAACAAACTTAAATATAAATTCCTTAAAATATATTTCTATATAATCTAATTACATATTTTATTTTATTTACTTTTCAACTGTTATCAACACGCCTGAGTGCATGAGTGAGTGTGTGGGTGCAAATGTGTAAGTGAGTGAGTCAGTCAGTCAGTGAATTAATAAAGTGTGTAACTAGTCTCAAAAGCATCTCTAACACTGCGTAAGGTATGCTCATAAGCCATTTCTTTAGTCATATCTTTACATATTTTTTTTTAATTATCTTTTCGTATTTTTACATTGTAGACGATGAGCGGGTAAAAAGTGTGTTGGTTAATAAAAAATCTTAATTTTTTGTATTATAGTTATAGTGTATGTTCTAGCACAAACAATGTGCAGTTAGAGTTACTTTAACTTCAATGTCATGCTTTTTAACCGACTTAAAAAAATCAGAGGAGGTTATCGATCAACTTGTTTTTTTATAAATATAAATCATTTTAATTGCCTTCCAAATAAAACTCTTTCTATTTCTTATTATATATATTTCTTCCGAGGCCCTTTCATCTTTAACCGTATAATAAATATTTTTCTTTCTTTCTTTCATTCTATATTCAAAAAGCGTAAATACAATTTAGAAAGTAGCGAGTTTTTAAAATATTAAATTAGTTTTTTATTAATACAAGGGATGGACATCTTTTTGTCAAATTTTTAATATTTTGAAAGAGTTCATTAGAACCTGTATTAATTATTTCTGAGAGGTTTATATAACCGATTCAATTTAATTCATTATAATATTACATTTCGTGAATTAATGACACAATTTTTGTCGGATCGTCTTTGTGTTAAATTGTTTAAGAATTAAGATATTTTTTTTATAGTTTACCTGCTGATATCGAAGCATAAGGCGCTGGAAGCGGATGTAGCAGCTCACGAGCCGCAATTGATGGATGTCGCCGCTGTTGGAGACGAACTCATCTCCCAGGGGCACTTTGGGGCTGATAGGATACAGGTACAATACATAGATAACATAAGCTTTTATTGCTTTTTTAAGGTTTCTTTCAACTTTCTTCTATGTATTAATCAGCTGTCGCCATGTTGATCTGTCCTTCATCCTTCTATTCTATTATACTCTGGCTAACGTCCACATAGTCCTCCCAACTCCTCACCTGCCTTCCCTTGCTACTCTTTCCATCCCTAGGGTATATGTGAGTGACATAGTACTGTACCCAAGTATAGTAAAACGTTTCGAGACCACCTAGTGACTCTTTATACCTAAAAGTTACCATTATGTGGTGTAAAGTACTGGAAAGTCGAAAATAATATTAAAAATAACGCGTAATTCGATCCCCACTCCGCATCGTAACGTTTTACAAAAGGACCCCCCCAAATTAGTTACGTAATACTTGAACGCTCCTTAAGTCGTTTTGGTCCGAAATACCTCGACAGGCAGCTGGTTCCACGTAACGGTGCTCGCAAAAATTCCTTTAAAACGCTCAATTGTGGAACGACAGACGTCAAGTATATACATATGTTTTATTTATTTTTTTAAATATTAAAAGCAACGGATGGTTTTCACTAAACGATATCGTAAATTTGGGATCGCGTGGTAGAAAATCTCTAAACGGAATGCGGTGATCGCAATTAGAAGTTGTACGGTACTGGCCTTTCAATCTAATGTATTTTTTTAACAGGAGCGTCTCCGAGACATCCTGTCGCAATGGAATCACCTTTTGGATGTGGTGTCTCTCCGTAACAACAGATTGGATGCGGCTGTACGTTATCACCAGCTGTTCGCTGATGCCGACGATATTGACCAATGGATGCTTGATACTTTGCGGTAAGAATATGTATTCCAGCAGTCAAGTTCAAAGACTTCTTCTTTCGATCTGATTTTTATGCTGATTTATTTTTAAACTATTTATATTTAATAATTATTTAACAAAGATTTTTCGATTTGGTAGATTAATTTTTCTGTGTATTCTGTAGTTATGATACCTTTTATAAAATGAATCAATGTTAATTCATTAATATCCTTATAACTTTATAGATTGTGTTTCTTATAGTATTTTTTGTCCTGAAGTTTTTAACTAACAGTTGGACTGATTCATAGGTAAATAAGAAAAGATATTCTTTTATAGGTTTTGATTTAATTGTAAAATATAGCCTTCGAGAGCGATACGATTATAGCGGTCATATAATTTTTCGGTACCCTTTTTATCGTACGATTTGACTTACCCTCAAAATAGGCTTCAGTTTCGGCGACGTCTCTCTTTGTAAACGTTATAATAAAAATCTTTAATTATTAGGATGTAATACTTAGATTATATGAATAACTTATTGTTTATACATTGTTTCCTTATGTTTTTAGTTTGGTTTCATCCGAAGACACCGGTGTAGACGAGGCCCAAGTGCAAAGTCTATTGAAGAAACACAAAGACGTTACAGACGAGTTGAAACACTATGCCAACGTTATTCAACAACTTAAGCAACAAGTGAGTTATTGTTTTTTTTAATATCATTTAAAATGTTCGTATACGAAATTTGCATAACTAACTAAAAATTTTTTTACCTCAAATTTGCTTTTAAAAGCCTTTCAATATTCCTAAGTATTTTTTATTGTGTATAAATAAAAGTAGAGTTTATACAAATCAAGTTAGTTTTTTCATCTGTTAACCCAAATAAGATTGAACTAAAATTCGTTTAATTTTAACTATATTGAAGCCACAAAAGAAGTTGTCTGACCTTTGCCATTGGACTTTAAGAGTACAAAATAATACCAACTGTATTTAGGACACAAACTCTTGACATTCTGTTAGATGGATTAATTATGTTTAATTTATTTATTAACTAGTAATAATTCAAACATAATACTGAAATACTGCTAAATTTAAGTGTAAAAAGGCTTAGAATTCCTATAATATATCCATTTCTATATCTCTTTTATAATTTTCTATTCTCTTTTTGAAACTGTCTTACTTATGTATAAATAAATGACAGGCAAGCGAACTGAGTCCGGAAGACGCGAGCAGCGCCGAAGTACGCGATCGTTTGGGAGCAATGGACGCGCGTCTCAACGAGCTATCGGAACTCGCTCGTCTACGCAAGCAGCGTCTACTTGACGCCCTGTCTTTGCACAAGCTGTTGGCTGAAGCTGATGCGGCAGACCAATGGATTGCTGAGAAGGATCGAATGCTGGATACTATGCATCCACCAAAGGATATTGACGATGTGGAGATTATGAAACACAGGTGAGTCCAAAGAAGAGAAGATTAGGGAAGTAGGTATTTTTAAAGTTCATGTATCTTCAATGTGACGAATATCACCTCGACGTCCGTCATTCCACAACTGAGCGTTATTTGAGGCAGTTTTTGCCGCGCCCCACCACTATGTGAAATCTGAATGTTTGATTTCCAAACCAATTTAACTAGGGTCCTTCAAGAAAATAGCGTTATATATCTTAAAAGGCCGGCAAAGAACTTGCGAACCTTCTGGAAATGTAAGTGTCCATGGGCGGGGTGGTTTCACTTAACATCAGATGAGCCTCCTGCCCTGTTATATAAAAAAAAAAACCAATTGTAATGAAAACTAAGCACTTATACATATAAAGAATAGTTAATATAATACAATAATGATAATTTGTTTAATGAAAATCTATATCGTTATAAATATAGTAAAATGAAAATCTATGCGTTTGTCTTTAGGAACTAATATTTTTTGCATTAACGGATACACGACAACACTAACGAAAAGTTTTTGCTTAAAATTTTATTGATTAAACATGAACAACTGATTTAACGTCAAATTACATAATATGTCATTATTAGACGTCTCGCTACTATTATTGTAATTAAACAACAGAAAATTCAGTCTCTTCAAAGCTTTAGTATAGTTATACTGTATTTTAATAAAATTCCTAAGATTTTGTGTTAAGAATGTTGTTCTAATAAAATACGAGCCAAAAACATTATTAAAGTAGCCGATTTTAATGATAACTTTGTGGCAGATACGATGGCTTCGACAAGGAGATGAATGCTAACGCGTCAAGAGTGGCCGTCGTGAACCAGTTGGCTCGTCAGCTCATTCACGTGGAGCACCCTGAGGCACCGCGCATTACGGAAAGACAGGCTCAGCTCAACCAGGCCTGGAGTGGGCTTAGGGAGAAGGTGAATATATTTTTTTAGTTTTCATTTCAGTAAAGCCTCCAAAAGGGGCTGTCACTTATGGCGTATAAGTTAGAAATCCTGGATTCAATTTTCGGTAAATAAATATTTCTGGTAGGATCATACAGATGATCTATTTGTCATAAATATGATCACTCTAAGGGGCCGTTCAAGTATTGCGTACGTAGATTTACTGCAAAAGTAATTAAAATTTTCAAAAATATTAGCTTACATCTAAATGTGTGGTGTGTATGTGACTGAACTCCTCCTAACGGACCTTTGATGAAATCAAGGTGGGAGGTTTAGATTCAAAATCGCCCGGCAGAGGCACGAGTCGGTACTTTCATACTTTGCTTAATATCCTAAGCTAAGAGGACAACGCGGGAGAAATGTATAAATTTTTTGTAGGAAAATGCATTTCGTTTTAAGCATAGACAATGTGTGGGTAATGTGTAAAAAAGCAAAATACTGTTGACGTAATCACCAAATAAGAAAATCAGAGACCCCCCTCCCCCTATAGTGCTTGCGTAATACTTGATCGGCCCCTAATGTACCTCCCATGACCCATTAAAGTATTACACGATTCCATATAAAAAACTTATTAAGAAAATTAACTTTTGTTGTTTTCGGTCATTGTACACCAAAGAGCACCAATAAGACTTCTGATCATACCTATACCTTTTTTACATTTGATTATTTATAACATACTAGCTGTATTTGCTTCGCTGTGGCAAATTGTGATTGAATGGTTGAGAAATGACAAACAAAAGAAAGAATACTATTCATCTAAGTTTAATTTTCCAATACTTGTGGAAAAAAAGAAAAAAAAAAAAAAATAGATAAAAACAATCCTTGATGCGGATTATATATATGCTAAAATTTCAGCTCGATCGGTGCAGAAATTTTTGAGTTTTTGAAGCGTACACAAACCAACAACATTTTTATATATGTTGATTATAGATATAAAAAAAATATCGTTAATACTTTTGTAATTCTTTATGAAAGCATTTTTTTAAATTATTTATCTTAGGCGGAGGCTAAGAAGGACGAGCTGAAATCAGCTCAAGGTGTACAAACCTTCTACATTGAGTGCCGTGAGACCGTCTCATGGATTGAAGACAAGAAACGCATCCTGCAACAGACCGACAATCTGGAGATGGATCTTAACGGTATGGTTACATTAACTGCCAAATTTTATAAATTCATTTTAATAACTTATTTTTATGTTTACTTTTCATCGATCTACTAGGTCCCATAGACGTCAAAAGTAAAAGAGTATTTAAAAATGTAAAGCAATTGGGCGGTTATATTAAAAAAAAAGGGTGCGTGTACTTATGTACGCGCGTAAGAAGTTATACTTCTTTGGCATTATTAAAAATAGTTTTTGATTGCATGCAAATAATTAATTACAATTAAATAATCAAAGTCTGGAAAAGGAGTCATTATAGTCAATAAAGTTCAGTTTACATTTGAAAAATTAAATAAATATTTATTATTATTCTCTTACATTAAGTGTAACATAAATTATATTATTATTCGAATGTTGTTTTTAAATTATGTCCAATGCCGTACGTAGCATCTTCATCTGCCGTAGCGTGGGCAACTTGTAGGTGGTCGTAAAATTTCACTCTCATCAATTTTTCATAACGCGCCTAAAGAAGTATAACTTTAAAAAAGAGAGTATGTTTAAAAGCTTAACCTGTATATTTTTAGTGCGCGAGTATTTTACTATAAATTGCTTGAATGATGGACAAGTAATATGCCGTATATATTGTGTCATATAAACATCCTTAATCAGGTGTGATGACTCTCCAACGTCGTCTGTCGGGAATGGAGCGTGATTTAGCAGCCATTCAGGCCCGCATCAGCTCTTTGGAGGACGAGGCCAATTCCATCGAAGGAGAACATCCGGATGAAGCAAGGCTTATCCGGGAACGCGTTGTCACTATTACAGAGAACTGGGATCAGCTTACACAAATGGTGAGTGTTTTACACTTTTTTTTAACTTTAGTCAGCGACTAGCATACTTTACCAAGAAATTAAATTTTGTTTACGGTTAAATTTATCATTTTAAAAATTATATCATAAATGTTTTTGTCTTTGCTATAAACAAAGTCATCATTTTGTTTTGGCTCAGTATATACTTGCATTTGGCTCAGTATTTACATTCATACAGTCATTAATAGCAATAAAATCCAAAATAAATGTTCGGGTTCGGGGCTTCTAATCTATTGTATTTGTCTTGAATGAATAAATACATTCATTGCATACAATCGAAAAATACACTTAAAAATGGCGCCTCTGCAAGTCGAGTTACAGCAGTTAAATCATATGTATCTCGAAGTTCTTGTTAAGTCGAAAACTCGTATACTCGATTTTTTTTTGCATTTCCCTTGACATTCAAGTTATAGTGATTCCACTGTAATAATTATTTGTTTGTTTCGTATAAGATTCGTTCCGTGTATATTCTTTTGTTTATTTTGAGTCAAAAAGCATTTATGGTGTGTATAGGGGGCAAAAGATTCGCTTGTGTGCGGCTTGTCAATTTTTTTTTTCAATCACGATACTGGCATGTTTTATCGTTTGGTTTTCCTTGAATACCAATTTAACTCCCATTAAATACGTTTTACAATATTGTTTTATAGCTCAAAGAGCGCGACTCAAAACTGGAAGAAGCTGGAGATTTGCATCGCTTCTTGCGTTCCGTGGATCACTTCCAAGCCTGGCTCACCAAGACCCAGACCGATGTTGCATCAGAAGGTTAATATATTAACATGGAAAACATATTTGACAATTTAAAATTTCTTGTCTTCTACTAAATTTTATATATAAATTCATATCTTTTGTTCTCACTCTGTTAGATTTCTCTATTTTTCTGGGCTATGAAATTTATATAGGAAAGTAATAGAGAAGTGATGAGACTGAACTTTTTGTAGATATTCCATCGAGTCTCCCGGAAGCGGAGAAGCTCTTGTCTCAACACCAGACCATCAAGGAAGAGATCGACAACTACAAGGACGAATATGCCAAGATGATGGAGTATGGAGAGAAGATCACTGCCGTGAGTATATTTTTTAGGACTTGTAGAAAGTCTATTATTGCGATTTTATTCATATAAATCTTTTTGCTAAAAGATGTTCGTAATATCTTTGAAGAAATTGGGTAAATTTTTTGTATAACACGATTTTGATTTAAAAAAGTATAGTTTAATTAAGAGAACGATGCAAATGATAAAATCGGTTCAGTAGTTATTGAGATATATACACGCATTTCTACGTTCACATGTTTTTAAAGGTGGTTAATTTTTTTTTTTATATACAAAGTTAAAAAAAAAAAATTATACTTTTTATACTATAATAAAAAAAGTTCCGTTATGAAAGAATTAGAAGCCGTAGAAAACTAGAATGTTAATCCAAAATCATTCCCATCCAGGAACCATCGACAGCAGACGACCCCCAATACATGTTCCTCCGAGAAAGGCTAAAGGCTCTCCGCGAAGGATGGGCAGAGTTGCAGCAGATGTGGGAGAACCGGCAGCAGCTGCTCACGCAGTCCCTCGAGCTGCAATTGCTGCAGAGGGACGCTCGTCAGGCTGAGGTGCTGCTAGCACATCAGGAGCATAGGTTTGTTTCTATTTGCTATTGTTTTTTGTCGTAGTGATTCTGTGCCTGGAAGCATTCCAGCATTGGCTTATACGTGATACTGGTTATGATGAAGCAAATATCTTATCACTCTTTTAACGATTAATATTCTTATAGAATTGCGAAGATCGAGCCACCAGCGAACTTGGAACAGGCTGAAAATATGATCAAGGAGCACGAAGCCTTCCTCACCACGATGGAAGCCAACGATGACAAGATTAACTCTGTCGTCCAGTTCGCCAATCGCCTCGTCGAGGAGAGACACTTTGACGCAGACAAGATCCAACGCAAGGCTGAGAGCATCCGCGCCAGACGAGACGCTAATAGAGACAAGGCTGTCGAACAGATGGATAAACTTCAAGACCAACTGCAGTTACACCAATTCCTTCAAGACTGCGACGAACTCGGCGAGTGGGTCCAAGAAAAGAATGTTACCGCCCAAGATGACACATACCGCTCGGCCAAAACCATCCACTCCAAGTGGACCCGCCATCAAGCGTTCGAAGCTGAAATCGCCGCCAACAAGGAGAGGCTGTTCGCCGTACAGAACGCGGCCGAGGAACTCATGAAACAGAAACCAGAGTTCGTCGAAATAATTTCACCCAAAATGACCGAACTGCAAGACCAATTCGAAAACCTTCAAACGACAACAAAGGACAAGGGCGAACGGCTCTTCGACGCCAACCGTGAAGTTCTCTTGCACCAGACGTGTGACGACATCGATTCCTGGATGAACGAGCTGGAGAAACAAATCGAGAACACCGACACGGGCACTGATCTGGCATCTGTGAACATTCTCATGCAGAAACAACAGATGATCGAGACTCAGATGGCGGTCAAGGCCAAACAGGTCACCGAGCTCGAGACACAGGCCGAGTACCTCCAAAAGACCGTGCCAGATAAGATGGAGGAGATCAAAGAGAAGAAGAAGTCTGTGGAACATAGATTCGAGCAGCTCAAAGCTCCCTTACTGGATCGTCAGAGACACTTGGCCAAGAAGAAGGAGGCATTCCAGTTCCGCCGCGATATCGAGGATGAGAAACTATGGGTACATGAGAAGATGCCGTTGGCTACGAGCACCGATTATGGAAACTCACTCTTCAACGTACAGATGTTGCAAAAGAAGAACCAGTCCCTCAAAACAGAGACGGATAACCATGAGCCGAGGATTTTAACTGTCATCTCCAATGGCCAGAAGTTAATCGACGAAGGCCACGAAGACTCGGATGAATTCAAGAGGCTTATTGAAGAACTCACGGCTCGGTGGCGAGAACTTAAAGGTATTAATATAATCGATTTTTACCAACTTTAGTCTTTATTTAACGTAGGAGATGATAGATTAATTTTTTTTTTAAGAATTCGAGATATTTTAACAAAATATAGAATCTAAAGAAAACACTTTTTTACCGGATTGAAGTTATGTATTATTATAAATTTTCAATTATTTTACATAATTTTAAATTTTTACGACGTTTCGCGTGCTTAAATGTGTAAAAGTTTCAACAAAAGACAAAACTAAAATATAGAATCCCCTTGTCACATTTCACTCATTCCTTTTTAACATTGCAAAGCCCGGAAGGCTGGCCATTTAAATGTTTGTTTTAATTTTGAAAATAAATTTAGCCCATGCTAGTCCCTCTTAGGGTCCTTCAAGATAAGAGCGTACCAATTCCTTCCCTATCTATAAAAAAATGGTGTTTTCAGTAGTGTTTGATTTTATTCATTACTAACATATAAAAAATGTATTCTTTGTACGATATTATTAAATTATATATATACATCAGTGCAATATAAACCAGTGTTGGCCTAGTGGCTTCAGCGAACGGTGAAGGAAAACATCGTGAGGAAACCTCAGACCCAAAAAGTCGACGGCGTGTATCAGGCACAGGAGGCTGATCTCCTACTTGCCTATTATATTTACAAATGATCATGAAACATAAAAAAATCGTCCCAACAGTTTTCCGACTAGCACTAACAAATGTTCTTTTATATTTAATATTATTAATAATGGTCACAAAATATGCAGAAATCAGACTAATTTTGACGTAGCGTCTGATAAAAGATATACTTAAAATCTCGCATCGTTCTTTTTTTTATTCTTCTTAAAATCTCGCATTCTTAGACGCTATCGACCAACGCAAGAACAATCTGTCTCAATGGGGCAAGGCTCACCAATACTTGTTCGACGCGAACGAAGCCGAGGCCTGGATGAGCGAACAAGAACTGTACATGATGGTAGAAGATCGTGGAAAAGACGAAATTTCAGCACAGAACCTCATCAAGAAGCACGAAATATTGGAACAAGCGGTCGATGATTACGCCAACACTATTCGTCAGCTTGGAGAAACTGTTCGTCAGTTGACGAGTGAAGAACATCCTCTGAGGTATTTTGTTATTTTTATGAGTATTTCTAGGTGTAGAAAAATACCAAAACATTCTAAAAATCTCCTTTTATCTTTACATAATTTTCCATATAAGACCGCAAATTTCAATAAAAGTATATTTTAGGTTTAAGAATAACTTTATTTCTCATAAGAATTGCATATATAATTCACTTACTGAGAAACAATATTTAATAATTAGAAATTAGACCGCACATCTGTAGGTACATTTATAAAATAACAAAACAAAACAGCAACTAAAATGTGGGTAGACATAATAAACTTGATCAGTCAACCAAGCAAAACACAGATGTTCGTATTTTATTTTTTACTGCTATAGCAAGTTTATATTAATTATTTTATTATTTTTTATATATTTCCATAGCTCGCATTGTGTGTCCTATATTGTAAACGACAGTTTAATGAAAAACTTACCCCTTCTTTGGGGAGCGCAAGTATTACGCAACGAATTTGGTCTTCTTGTAAACCGTTACGATACCTTACTGGGTCAGAAGGGGGTTTAAACTATTCAATATAATTGTGTTTAGGTAAAAATGGTCCCTTGGTTAGGTAACGTTACAGGGGGTTAAATTCACGTACGTGTTAAAAATCTCCAAAGTTGCTTTACGTAATACTTGAACACACCCAAGGGGGAATAAATGTTACATTTTTGAAGTTATACTTCTTTAGGCGCGTTATGAAAAATTGATGAGAGTGAAATTTTACGATGCGCGCGCACCGTGACACAAAATTATCAGTATGGGCGCCGAGCGTGCGCGAGCGAGATGGGAATAAGACAATCTACAAGTAAAAAGAAATAGAATATGCGTGAAGTTAGCAGCTATGCCAAGCATTTTAAATGACCATAATGACATTTGTAGTACCTTTTAAACAAATAAACGAGTTTTAATTATTTTTTCAAAGAAATTTAGTTACTTAGTTAAAAGGTTATGAATCATACCTAGTTATTAAATTGAATTAATAATATAATAAAATAATAAATAATAATAATCATTATTATTAGTATTAAATAATAATTGAATAATGTACTAAATATTATTAAATTATTAACGTTAAATATTTATTATTAATTATTTAATATTTAAAAAAATAAAGAAAGCCAAAGAAGTATAACTTCTTACGCGCGTACACGCACCATTTCTTTTTTATAAAATTCCTGTAAAACCGCAATAGTTACGCAGATTTTCTTACCTACCTTAAAATTAGTAATACAGAGAGTTAGCCTTTTATTAATAATAACTGACTCAGTCTATTGCACCGTTTTAACTACATCCACTCTTTTCTCTTTTCATCACAGCGTAAACACAATTCGACAGAAAGAGACGAAAGAGTAGATTTATTCTGAAATATTTCTGAATTGTTCTATATTTTTATTTTAGTGAGCAAATATCAGTGAAGCAATCCCAAGTGGACAAGCTGTACGCTGGTCTTAAAGACTTGGCTGGCGAACGAAGAGCTAAGCTGGATGAAGCCTTGAGGTTATTCCAGCTTTCGCGAGAAGTGGACGATCTTGAGCAATGGATCACGGAGAGGGAGCTGGTTGCCAGCTCGCAGGAGCTTGGGCAAGATTATGAGCATGTCACTGTAAGTATTATTATTACAGTACCAGGCCATTTATAAGTCGCATCGTGCTTTAGAAAGAGATACTCGCTTCTCGCGTCATCTCTGTCACACGAAACACTAACAGTCCGGTATCTATAAGGAGACAGAGACGGCGCTATACGAAGCCGAAGCTAGCGGAGTATCTCTTTCTAAAGCACGATGCGACTTACAAAGGGCCGGGTACTGTATATTACGAATAATAATTGATTAATATATTAATAAATTACTTCGCTTGTTCAATGAAAATAATGTTTTCTATTATTATTTTTTTTAATAATTGTGGTGGTTATGTTCGAAAACTAAAAACACTTTCAAACTTTATTGGGAGATATCTTTTGAATTTTTGGGACAATTACAATTTCATATAAAAATAGCCCCAATTCGTAAAAAAACGAATTTGAGGTTATTCAATAGAAAGATGCTTGCTCAATATGAACTTCTTATTTAGGTATTATTTAAAATTAATTTTCAGCTATTATGGGAGCGTTTCAAAGAGTTCGCCCGTGAGACCCAATCAGTTGGTTCAGAGCGGGTCGCCACTGCTGAAAGAATCGCGGACCAGATGATCGCTATGGGACATTCTGACAATGCAACCATCGCTCAGTGGAAGGAAGGTCTCAAGGAAACCTGGCAGGATCTTCTGGAGCTCATTGATACGAGAACACAGGTCAGTTCTTAGCTTTGTAATTGAAGAAATGTTGCATTGAATTGCATATTCAGTAAGTATGAGAACCGGCTACTCTCTATCTTTCTAACCCCTAAGTGATATTAAGGGGTGTCCCCCCAAAATTTTATACACAATTTTTTTATATCCATTTATATACATGGCAAAACAAACGTTTGCGGGTCAGCTAGTCTATATATATATATAAAAATGAAACCCATTTTCCGTTGTCACGACATAACATGAAAACGGCTTGACCGATTTGTCTGATTCTCTTTTTATAATATTCCTTGAAGTACGAGGATGGTTCTTACGGAGAGAATAATTAAAAAAAATCAGTGGAAAAAGTCTAAAAACGACACTTTTCTATATTCCTATACAAAATATTCGTAATAATACTTAAAAGTCAATTTGAACTTTAATACCATATCATAAAGTTCAAGTGTTAGTGGAGGGGTTCCGGGAAGGTAATTTTTATTTTTGACATAATTATTTGTTGTCTTATCAACTTTCTTTTTTATCTTACTAGTGACCGGTGTCCCGAATAGCAGAATAAGTAAAAAAATAAAAAGAATCGACTGTTAGGCGGTACGATGTTCGCCAGGCCAGCTAGTTATTATATATATTTAAAATTAGGAACCTAATCTAGTCTTAGAGTAAGATTAAAATTCGATAGATCAGGAGATAACTTGGAATATCTTTCTGTTCTGCTTCCACAATATTCATTTTGCGTAACAATTATTTTGGAACGAAAGACTTATTATCAAAAGCCACCCTTAAGTGTAGTAATTAAAATTATCACTACATAATTTGTAAAGCAAAACTAGCGACCTGTGGAATCGGCTCCCGGTGGCGGGTCTTCCCTGAGAGATACGACACTCCGACTATTCAAAGTTAGCGTGTAGGGAGTACAAGGGCCGGCAACGCACCGGCTAAAATGGGTGTCAATGGGCTGCGATGACTGCCCTTTTTGGGCGTCCCGTAGGCTCGTTTATGTAAAATATTTACAAAAAACTATATGAATAATTTTATCTACTATTTTCAGTACCATAGTAATGTTTAATCTCAATCAACTTTATCGTTACACAACAGATGTTAGCGGCGTCACGAGAGCTGCACAAATACTTCCACGACTGCAAGGACGCTCTTCAGCGAGTGAACGAGAAGGCAAGAGGAGTTAGCGACGAACTCGGTCGTGATGCCCTTTCTGTCTCCGCTTTGCAGAGGAAGCACCACAACTTCATGCAGGATCTATCTACGCTGCAGAACCAGGTAAATCTTTACCTAGCATACTTATTTTAGCAAAAGGAAAATAATTGATGAATAAGAAAATTAAAGTATCAAAATAAACTCAAACACAAATCTTGATTGCATTCCTTATGTTAATATTATACACGTGACACGTTATAATTTATTACAATAAGGACCTTGGTTAGGCACAGCAATGTTGCGAGAGGGGATGCTTTATTGTAGTTAATTATATTCTTATACATTTTTATTCTTATAAGATACTTTATTTATTTGGTATATTTGCTTTGGTTTCGCATTGCGAAAAGGTACTAAACATTATTAATAAACTTAACTTTTATAAAGAAATTAAAGTCTATCAGTCATATACTCTGTAACAGTGTAATAACATTTCAGATATAATAATTCCTTCAGAAATTTGGTAATCCTCAAGTTATTTGTTTCATTCTTCAAATTTTCTCGAAATTTCTTATATATTTTTATGGAGGAGGTCAATGGTCCTGATTGATGTAATTTTAGTCTGGATGTAGGTGGAATCAGTTGGTTTTAATAAATAAGTTGTCATTTTGTAATCCGCAGTAACTTCTAGGAGTTTAGTATTTAAGTAGTATTAGTAGACTGTATATTAGTGTATATACTATGAGCTAAAGAAGATTATGCCGAAACTAAGCTATTTAATAAAAAAAAGGGTAAATACATGCAATTAGATTGGTTTAGTTTTTGTAAGGCGGTAATTTTTCATACTAATACGATTAAATTAAAAGCTCTGAAATTTGCATAACATACGTTTTAACTACAAATGTATGGCTGAGACTCTTTGAAGCTACATACATTCTGAAGAGAGAATAGAGAACATGTTTTGTCATGTTTATTGTAACTGGAGAGCGATGAAGACAAAAGGAAGATATTTATACAAAAAACTTATAACTAAAAGAATGAGAGAAAAATCTTTATTATAATAAAAAAAGAATTTTTAGTTAAAAAAGAGTCCACATTAGGATTTCCTGTGTCGTGGGCATGTAGTCCTTTCCATTGATATATTAACGGTAATTGACATAATAATGAAACTACTGTTACACAATGAGAATATTTTCTGTTTCAGCAAAATGTAAAAGTTATTAAACTAAACTGAACCAGTTTTATGTAATATTTAATTATTTATTGTTATATAAATTAACGTTTCATTTCAGGTTGAAGCTATTAACGCTGAATGCGCTCGTCTCGGCGCGTCATACGCCGGGGAGAAGGCAGCCGAGATCACCCGAAGAGCTGGGGAAGTTTCCGAAGCGTGGGCGTCTCTCCAGGCCGCGTGTGAAGCCAGAAGGGCCAAGCTGGAAGACGCCGATCAACTCTACCGCTTCCTGAGTCAAGTGCGAACACTCACCATATGGATGGATGACGTTGTCCGGTCTATGAACACTGGGGAAAAGCCGAAGTGAGTATAGAGTCTCCTACTTCCAGTTTTAATCAACTCTTACTATTAATAAAGTATTTAAATGTGTAGTGTTCGCGTAACTTAAGTAAAATATTTAAAAAAATTATTTAGTCGCTTTAAATTGTACAAATGCTAGACCGCATATTAGGGAACCCAGGGTTGACGAAGATTACAGTTTATTTGTATAATAAAATATAATTTTGAGAAAGAAGTTATCTAAAAGCGAAATAACAAATGGAGTAATGCAATGTCTTTAGTCTTCTTAAATTTTATGACTTGGATTCTGCTCACATCAAGCTATTCAGATAACTGATTCAAAATTAGGTCAAAGGATCTTGTATATAAAATATTATTTTTCTCATGAATTCGATTAATGTGCTCATTATTATGATCATCTTTATACAGGGTGGCCAAAAAGTCGTGGATCAAACGCAATGGCCGTGAGTCGCTCTAATATAATAATATATGTAATACATTTTCAGAATCCCTATTAAATGCGTCAAAACTTGTAATACAGGGTCACTTTTCGGTAGAGTATTTTTTTTTCACAGTGGGGGTCTGAAGGAAACAAAAAGTTTTCATTTGAAAAAAATTTATATCGTATAACTTAATATTATCTTCAAAACACTTAATAAACAACTATAAATAGTATGTCTAACGCAAGAACTCATCAGTACCAATCTAGTGAATATTATGAGAAAGATACAGGATGTAGATATTTTCGAATTTTAATAAGAATGAGTAAAAAAAGTCATTTTTTTATAAAAACGAAAAATGAATTATTACTCTGCAAGGGTTGAGCTTAGAGACCTCCCGTAGAACAATTTTTGCAGCTGATGACCTCATCTATCCCCTATTTGCGTTTGATCCACGACTTTTTGGCCACCCTGTATATAAATGTTCTCTGCGTGTGTTAGTAATCAAACACTCCTAGACGGCTGGATGAAAGTTTTTCTGTGTTTTGCTTCGAGAATGGTTAATATTTACAATTAGATGTTTTTGTTTTGTATTCAAGCATCAAGTCCACACGGGACAACGTGTGTCGGGTGCGCTAGTAAATTATAATGATTTAACACTATGATTTAAATGTTAAAAAAAACGACATTGATCATGAAAACACACGATAACCTTCTCTAAGTTTCTTAAACCAAAACTTAAAACTAATTCAGAAGGTAAGTTTATAATTTTTTTTCTTAATTTCCAGAGATGTAAGCGGCGTAGAGCTTCTAATGAACAACCACCAGTCCCTAAAAGCGGAGATCGAGGCCCGCGAAGAGAACTTTGCGGTGTGCATAGCTCTTGGAAGGGAATTACTCGCGAGACAACATTACGCGTCTTCTGATATAAGGGACAAGCTACATCTGCTCACAGATCAGAGGAACGCCTTGCTAAGACGCTGGGAGGAGAGATGGGAGAATCTCCAGCTTAGTAAGTATATCTAAAATCTTCTAGAAGGTTCTATTTTAAAAGGTGTTCGTGAAGGTGGTTGTGTTATATAATGTACATCTTGCTTTGCAACAAGATGTTTGGTTTTGTATAAATTTTCATGATAGTATAATAAGCAAAGCATTTTCTCAATTGTCTGAAAGCCCCTAAATTTTTGGCTGAGGGAGCTTTCAAATATTATGGCACGCAATTTTTGGAGATTATTGAAATGAAATGAAATGAAATAGTTTATTCTTGCAAGTAGGACTATATAAATCACTTTTACAATGTCTTCCTAAACTAGATGAAGTCGACATTTCCTAACTGACTGCCCTGAGAAGAAATGTCGAAACAAACTCGGGGGTCTTAGTCTCTTTTATAGTCCAGAAATACAATAATAAATTAATAAGTTGGTGTAAACAAATGCAGAGTAATTTACTGGACTGGTCTTTGGAAGAAAGAACCAGATCGATCTGAGCAAGCCTGCGCCAGCAGACGGCTAGCATGCCCCGAATAGCTCATGCAGCTCAACCATTTTTGAGGGAGCTGCACAACCCGGTACACAACAATACCGCCAGAGGCACCATAAAGATATGTGGGGCAACAACTCACTCAGATCGCCAGCCCAAAATAACTATAGACTAAAATGTATCAAATTATAAATCAAGCAAAAGAGTTTATGATATACCCGCATAATGTTTACACTTACAATGGATACAAAATGTATATTTAAGGTGTACCTTAAAGCAAGGAAAAATAATTAAATTGAAAAATATAATCGTAATATAAACATTATTCACTTGGCATGTCAAAGTGTAAAATATTGTATGCAAAAGCACAAAACATGTCAGTATTGTAGAAAAAGAAAAAATGAATATGCACTAAGCACAAAACATGTCAGTAATGTAGAGAAAAAAAAATGTAAAAAAATGAATATGCACTAAGCACAAAACATGTCAGTAATGTAGAGAAAAAAATGTAAAAAAATGAATATGACTAGCACAAACATGTCAATAGAATAAAATAAAATGCATATGCAAAAGCACAAGACATGTCAGATTGTAAATATGTACAACATGCAAAAAAAAAGAAAAAAGAAGTGAAAGACAGCTTAAAAAAACACAAGCGATAGCTGTATAAGCGAGCAGCTCAATCCCAGGCGTTTCTATCATTTAAATAATCGGATATCCTGTAATATCCTTTAGTTAATAATTTTGATTTAATAAAAATTTAAATTTCTTAAGGGAAGTTTACGAACATCCATAGGAAGTTTATTGTAAAAGCGTATAATTGACCCATGAACGAGTTTTATTCTATGAAGGCGAGTAGCATGAACTGTTAAATTATTTTGTTCCTAGTTTTGGATGAAGATCAGACAATTTGACAAAATCCGGTTGTTTTTGTGAACATAAAGTAAATTTTCAAAAATATATTGTGAAGTTACAGTCAGAATGTTTATCTCTTTGAATTTCTCTCGGAGAGAAACTCTAGGACCTAAGTTATATATAGCGCGGACAGCTCTTTTTTGTAATAAGAAGATTGTATTAATATCCGCACAGTTTCCCCAAAGGAGAATGCCGTACGTCATCAAGCTATGAAAATAACTGAAATAAACATTTCTGGCTGTATCCACATCAGTAATTTGTCTAATTTTCCTTACAGCATAAGCAGCTGAACTGAGCCTTCCAGACAATTTGTTAATAATCCCCCCCCACCCGTGTAACGCGCCGTAACGTTTTTCTGTACCAAATAGTAATTTCGTGATCACCTAGTGAGTCTTTATACCTAAAAGTTACCGTTATGTGGTGTAAAGTTTTCCCCTCTTGCAAAATTCGTTACGTAATACTTGAACTCTCCCTGATTTAAAATTCTGAAGTTTATATTTCTTTATTTAATCATTATTTTACTTTTGAGTAATAAGAAAAAAATGTTTAAATTTCTTTTGGAACAGGTTTTATAAATCTGAAATGTATTTTTACAGTCCTGGAGGTATACCAATTCGCCCGCGATGCGGCAGTGGCTGAAGCCTGGCTGATCGCCCAGGAACCCTACCTGATGTCGCAGGAGCTGGGTCACACCATCGACGAGGTGGAAAGCCTTATCAAGAAGCACGAAGCCTTCGAGAAGTCGGCTGCCGCGCAAGAAGACCGCTTCAGCGCTTTGCAGAGGCTTACCACTGTACGTATATTGATGTATTGGATGATTGAATTGATGTATAAAGATTTCAGCCCAGAAGTTGTAACTATGGTTTTGCAAATATGTTGGGAATTTTATTTCACATATAAATTCATGCTTTTTAGATTTACTGTAATATACAACAGCAGTGTTAGACTAGTGGCTTCAGCGTGCGACTCTCATCCCTGAGGTCGTAAGTTCGATCCCCGGCTGTGCACCAATGGACTTTCTTTCTATGTGCGCATATTTCATTCGCTCAAACGGTAAAGGAAACCAGAGGACACCGGTTTGGCGTAGACCCAAAAAGTCGACGGCGTGTGTCAGGCACAGGAGGCTGATCACCTACTTGCCTATTAGATTGCCAATGGTCATGAAACATACAGAAATCTGAGGCGTAGACCTAAAAAGTTGTATCGCCACTGATTTATAATGTATAATATACTATTAGGAAACATAAAAGATAAGAACGTGTAGGTACTTTAGACTTTTAAAATCTACCGAGGTTAGGTTAGTAACAAGCCCGTTCGCACGAAGTCTAGAAATAAAAGTGAGTCAACGCCGGTGTTGCCACGCTTTATATAGGTTTCTGCTACAAAATGGCGTTAGTCCGCTAACAATACAATATACCATTACTATCTAAGTTTACAGTTAAAATAATTCATCAACATAGCTTTAGTGGGTTGAGTATTTGTATATCTCACACAGATTAAATATTCGCTTGAATGTGGTGTGGTGTTTGTAAAAATTAGATATAAGATAATGTAAAAATGTACAGGATTCGATATTTGCTTGAGGTTCATATAAATTTTGAATTACAAACGGACAAAAACTAATTAATTATTAATTTCATATTTTTACTAATTCACCCATGTTTTTCTTTGTTACCAATCTTTTGCAAAGTTTTACTGAAATTAGTATTAGTTATCGCACTGTACTTAAAGCTTGGGTTGGGCACTGTGTAATCTCTTACTTTCTCACTAGCTTGAACTGAATGCAGCGAAACTATGGCCAAGTCCTGAACCTTGGAAAAATTGTGATGAATCATCATTTACATACTATCCCGATCCCAAAATCCGAAAGAAACCACATCCCAAAAATATCGTTATCCCCAAAAAAGAGCTCCCAGTAGGACAAGTTGTGCACGATATAATATTAAATTCGGAAAATCACCAAATCCCTGAAAAATACCGAAGTAAACACTTGAATCACTCTCAAGTGAAAAACGACTCTTATTTGTGGAACGCAAATGATAATACCAGTTTATCACTTCCCGATACAAACACGCCGATGTCGCCCCTTAAATCTCCTCTCACATCAGAAATATTCAGCTCCATTTTCTTTGAATATACGAACGAGAATCCCAACCCGAACGAAAAGTTAGCCTGTATCGATTTTATATTATGGGAACGTTTATCTTACCTCAATATTTTCCCCAATGTCTCATTACTGAAACGTAAAAGTACTTCCTCGATTGCGGGGAGTATTATGAACATTCTACGTAAATTGTACCAAAGGAAAAAAGATACGAAGAGCGATGTTGCTGTCCTATCTTTACCAGGCTTGACCAGTAGCAATAAAGCCATCAATGATTTGGGGAAAGACATAAAATCTGTACCTCTTTCCTCCTCCCTCCTTTTGCTATCGCAAACCCGTAGTCTCCTTTCCCCTGATGCTGCATGGTACTATGACTATTTGGATGTAAGTGTGGTTGTTGGTATACGCTTTTGCGCGAGCTTTTAATTGGAACTTGATAATTGCTTTAAGCTTTACGCACTCATTACTGTGGTTTGGTATTAATTTTTCATCTTCCACACTAGCTTGAATCGATCGCAGAAACACCCCACACAGAGAACTCAGAAAGAGATGAATCTTTCACATACCATTCAGCGCCTATCACCCGCCACAAAACCCAAAATCTTGTCATGTATGACGAGGACCTCGATGACATCGACCCAGAAGTCGTATTTAGGACAGATTGCCACAAACAACCAGACGAATACCAGTCGAGAAATCTGAATATTAACTATTCTGAAAATGAAAAGAATGTTAAAAGTACTGTTTGGAGTGTGGCCTCACATAGTCTGTCTACGATATCGGAACAAAGCACCCCCCCTAAATCACCCACTACAGGGAAATTCTTGTTCCTTGGACTTAATGAGAATCTACAGTCAAATCCAAGATTGTCTTCGATTGATTTTATCCTCTGGGAACGGTTAGCGTTGTTAAATGTGTACCCAAATATTGCTTCACTAACACAACCAAGTACATCTACAAGCCGTAGTGACAATACAGGAAATAAAAACAAAGGTATAAAAAATGTTCTGCGACGACTGTCCCTGAGGAGATCCTACCATGAATCCGAAAGAACCGCTGCTTGCACGCCCATATCTCTTTCTTCTTCTTTATTTTTGCTGTCACAAGTTGAAAATTATCTATCTGCGAACGACATATGGTACTATAACTATATGTATGGTGTAAGTTAATAAGTTTGATTCGTTTACGCATGCGCAAAAGCCCAAAAGCTTGTTATACATTGCCTAATATGCCTTTTCTACAATTTCAGCTCTACGTTTATTCTATTTATTGTGCAACTTGACTAACTAGCACCACTTGGAGTCTAACACTGGCATTTCGGCTATAAATCAATATTTATAGTGAAATTCTCTGACTTGACTTGGTAAATTCCAGTTCGAAGTGAAAGAGATGAAGCGTCGCCAAGAAGCGGCTGCGGCTGCCGAGAGAGAGAGGCAAGAGAAGGAAGCCGCCGAAGCCGCTGCTCAGGCTGCAGCGCAAGATGCTGTCGACCGTGCTGCTTCTCCAGAGCCAGAGCAACCCGGTAAATATATTATCCATATACATAAACAGGTGTCCTACCGCTCGCTGATATATCCATTTATAAAAATTTTGAATGGTAAATGCACTAATTTTGGAATTTTAGGTTTGCGTAGAGTGCCCCTTTAAACCTGTAATGTTGGGATGATCCTCCGTTATGATATGGTCAGTTAGCGGTACTTTGAATAGAAATTCTACCCTTTGAATTAAGTAAACCAGATCTTTATTAAAGAAAGTGCTGTCGAATTGAAAGAAAACACAAATTAACACAGTCACGGATTGCATTCTCAGCACGCATGTTAACTATCCCGCACTATGACTGACCTTTATCTTAACATGGGTTTAAGTATCTGGTTCAAAATTTACTCTTTGATGTCTTTCCGATCGAATAACGTCCTCGTCATAAGGTGTCCGTAATCAACGATCACCCAGACAAACGAACACATCGATGTTTTTCCGTTATTAAAAACTGTAAATATTTTCTTTAATGCTGAGCATCTTCAGATACCTTAGCGCAGTGTTTCCCAACGTGGGACCCACGCCCCATAGGGGGATAATTTGATTGTTAAGGGGGGCTATTCGAAAATTTATGAAATTTCTGATTTTTATTATTTTCTGAAACTTGAAATTTTACTTACTGCGTTTCGTTAACAATTTCCTAATGATTTCTTTAAAACTTATCGTTTAAGTTTTTTAAGTGAACAATTTTTTTATTATTAAATATATTGTATGTTACATAAAAATTTTAAAAAAGGATAAAGTGGGGCATGGGACGAAAAAGGTTGGGAAACACAGTCTTAGTGTATAGTTTTTTGTAAGCAAATACTTGAACCTATGCTCGATACAGTCATACTAACTTTCACCAAACGGTGGAATGCCTTCAAAATAACCATGATTCGATTCTTGAGGGAGACCTACTGATATAACTTAGCACGTTTGCACTGCGATTCAGCCGAGAATGGCGTCGCTTGCAGCTTTACGTGTCAAGTTTACAGAGCTAACTCGAAGTGAAAGCGAAATTAAAACATCTCACGCTGCAACTAAAATTTTCATACTTAAGCGTTTTGGTGCTAAATCTGATATTGAACTGACCTACTTTTTATATACGAATTCAAATAATATCAGCGCAATAAATCTTAAATGGTTTAGACATGCTATCATACTTAGCGCCAATGATACAAAAAAAATCGTATTGACCATTTTTCTTGAATGTCTATATTCCTTTATGTAACATATAAAAGTTTAGTTTAGTAAGCCCCCTTATTTTAATTTCGCTCGGCGAGTTAAGCGTTAATTAGGGCCGATACTTAAATATGTGTTGTCCACACATGCACACGCGTAGTCGTAAGGAGAACATCCACTAAAGCGGCTGAGAAGGCCCAAGAGAGACCGCATTCCCAGCCAGGTAACGAGCGCTTTACTATCGCCAGGGGCTAGTTGTACGCATGAGCTTCCTAGATATTGGTGCCATTTCGTATCAGTTTGTATGAAAGAGGGACATCCAATAAATATCAAATTGGTAAAACCTTTTTGATAACTTTGATTTAAATTTTTTAAAAAAGCGTGCGTACAAAGTACACGTGTCAGAAGTGAAACTTCTTTGGCAAACTAATTTTTAAGTCTTCATCATATTTATACAAATCTAAAACTTTAGATTTCCGAGACTTAGAGGGAGGGAAAAACGAATATTTGTTAGGAATTTAATGAATTTAATTGTTATTAAAAGTGTTGAAAATTAATACAATTTATTATAATTTTTTAAATTTATTTATTCGATAGTAAAAACACGTGGCATTTTAATTTACAAGTCATTTGAGATTTCAATAAATTATTTTGCATAAAATAAAAAATACTAATATTTCAGAAATTCACTTTACGAAATTTAAATTTTAAAAATAGAATCTATAATTCTATAAGGTAATTCGCCTTTCTCTTAAATTAAATTTTACCCTCATGCACCTAAAGAATTTTCACTTCAAAAAATTACGGTCTATTTGATTACCCTCCAAATTTAAATTTGATAGGATGTTTAAGAGCCCTTGTTTGGGGCGTCTGTTATTATTGGATGCTCTCGATAAAAGTTTTCCAGCTAAATGTTTCATACAAACTTTTCAATATTTAGCACTATTAAGATAAGCTAGATTGAAAGTGTTGTCTCTCTCGGATATTAACGTTTAGAGCGAGACAAATTTCGGTTTAGTCGAATCTGGCCCAATACATTCTTAATGTGGAAGAATTAGCGCTCTAATGCCGTAGGGGTAGTTGGTTTTGGAGGATAATTTAGGTATTGTAGATGGGATGTGGCACAAACGTATTAGTGCACTCACGTACTATAGAAACCGATTCTGTTATTAGATATCTATGTAACGCACAATTCGCCCTTTTTAATTACCCTGCACATTTCTTCTTTATCTTATTACTGTGACGTCTTATTTGTGTATTGTACGGACGTATTCATAATATATTTTCATACATTGTTGCAATAAAATCCATTTGTTTCCACATTCACGCTAATCACGGTGATGGTTTGATACTGTACTCTCTTTTCATGTGTCTTTATATATTGAGCTAATTGTGCTGTGTCTATCAACTGTTGAAGCTGTTTCCAAGGTAGGTATATTTCTTGTATTTGCGTCTAATTTCGCTATCCTGGTATATGCACGGCTTTTTTTGCTTTATGTATTTATTGTTACAGGCTATCAAATATTGCTTATCTCTACTTATTTCAATATTCTGATTGAATTAAATGTTTCAGCTTTTTATTTTTACTAACGACTTAAACGCTTATCCATTATATAATACAAATACATGTACCGTTTATTATTTGAAATTAGATTTTATATCAATATCTTATAGTAGGCAGGGAATAGGAATTAACTTTCTGTTGTTACGCACGAATATAACATTATTACGTATACTGACGATTATTTAATTAGCTATGTAACAATACGTTGGTATACGCAATAATGCGCATGCATACGTACAAAACCAACATCTTTACGTATACAGGGTATAATTGAGTTTTTAAACTTTGTTCCGTATACGTAACGATGCGCATGTACATAACGTAGCATGTGCACGTAGTGTAGACATAACTAGCACGTAGTCGTACGCATGCAGAAACCCCAAGCCCCGAGACTCCGACCACGCCCCCTCCCGAGCGGCAAGAGACGCCACGCCCGTCCACCTCGAAACAGACGCCCGTTAAACCCGCACGCCTTTCCAGTGAGTACACCTGATTAACTTGACGTACATGTTGATTCAAATTGTCGTTCTTATAAAAGTTGTTCTTACAGATTCACAAAAATATTAAAGAAAAATCAGGAACTATTCAAGATCTATTCATAGAATATAGATTTCTGAATGTTTTCAACATATTTCTGTTATTATAACTATGGGTGTTTGAAAGTTAATCATTATTTTAAATTTGTATCATTATGACAAAATAAATTAATGTATTTGAATCAATACTGTACGTGAACGTTGAGAAATAACATAGTAATCATTTATAAGTAGTCAGAATATGATGACTCATTACTAATGTTTTAGAAGCATGTCATTTAACAAATGTGTTTTCTGGTGTACTGGTATCATATCGAGAGCATGTAAATGCTTTTGTTTTATTTTGCTGCGACGCAGTGTTGTTTTTATGTTGCTTTGAATTACGTTTTTTTGTTTTTTTTCTCCTCCCTACCTTTCACTCCGTCCTTTACTAAATATTTCGAACCATTGACGTCTTTCATTCCTACTTAAACCTGACTCCCAACGGCCGCATCCCTCCCATCACTTGAAATAGCACCCGGAACGAGCTCGACACCGGTCACGCCGTCGACTTCTGGTAAGGTGAAGTCTCGGTCGCGAAGCAAGTCGCCGTTCCGAAGCTTCCGTTGGAAAGCCGCTAAGAAACTACTCACTGGAACGCACCATAGTGATGATGAAGGTACCCCTGGTAATAATAATTGTGGATGAACCAATGGAAAATACTAAGCTCTTGTCTGTTGAATAAACTGAAAGCTTATTAATTTTCTTTGAGTTTACGCGTACGTATGAACATACGTATACGTACATTGAAAATACGCGTACACACGTACGCACAACGTCATCCACAATTGTACGTTACCACAAAATGTCTGTGTCTGCGACGAATGCTTTGTGTGCTGTTTGTTTGTTGAGCGCATGATTTTGAATTATGTACATTATGTTGTGCATTAATAAAATATTATCTAGAAAACAGAGTTTCATTTGAGTAGGTTCACATAGCGACGTATCAAACCACACGTGATAGTTTTAAGGACATATTCTGAGTGTGCAATAAATTTAAGTAATTCGCGTCTTGGAATATGGTTTTATTTAGTAGTAGGCTTTCAGGATAGTTCTTGAATGCCTATTAAGGTTTACAAGGCTCCTTGAATGCGTAGTAAAACCTGTATCTATGTGCAGAGGGCGCAAGTCCCGGAAGTGAGGACGAAGGCGTTGAAGGCATGTTGGTCCGCAAACACGAGTGGGAATCAGCCGCTAAGCGTGCATCAAACAGGTGAGGTTTGGGAACATATATTTAAAACGTATTATGAATTATACAACTACTACTATTAAGGAACAGAAGGACTTATTGAGTATTAAGATACATTGTTAATGAGACCGTTGAAGTAAAATTTAAACTAGGGATGCATCCGATACCAATACCGATATGTCGGCGATCCTTTGGGTTTGCCGATATATCTGCATGGGCGATATTTAAATTGCCGATACAACAATACTTTTCAAAATTCGCGCTTTAAAAAAGTAATGTCGACGCGCATCTTCTTTAATCTAGTTCGTTGCACACGAGGCACGGACTATCTATGCCCGGGGAATCCCCGCGTATTATTCAGTTTGTTGTCTCTCTCACCCTCTTTGTCCCCGCGTATTCCATTTCGCGCGTAGTATCTTTTAGATAACAAATTAAATAAAATACAGAATTTTTAATGATTAACAGTTATTTATTTTAATTTAATTATTACTCTTAATTTTAATAACTTAACCTGTAATCTTATTCAAAGTTTGTGACTGTTCAACCAAACTTGATATATTTTACCTTCATTTAATTTTAATTCACTAAGCATTGGTATCGTATCGGCAAAAAGGCGTATCGATGCATCCCTAGTTTAAACAAATGCTATTTCGAAGAATTCCTTTTGAATGTTTTTAAAAAGGTCAAACTCCAAAATTACCGTGTAATAATGTTCTTAATAGATTATACTAAAATGAATGTATGCTTCAGATCGTGGGACAAGGTGTACGTAGTAGCAAAGGATGGGCGTATGTCCTTCTACAAGGACGTGAAGGCCTACAAGGCAGCACCCGAACAACACTGGCGCGGAGAGGCACCCTTGGACCTTAATGGTGCTGTTGTGGAGCAAGCTGCCAACTACACTAAGAAGAAGCATGTCTTCCGTCTAAGGTATATATTGTAATAAATACGCGAGAATAAGATTGATTCAATATTACTGTAAATGTTTGCCTTGTGTGCCATAATAACACGGGTCAACGCAAAATTTGACTTTGACTTAACATAAAACGATAATTTTTTTCAACTGGTTTATTAAAATAAGTAAATTAATATGCTTATTTATCCCTTGTTTATAATTCAAGTGCCATCTATCGGTGTGAAGGTAAAATCGCGCGATACTTTTGAATGTATTAAAATTTATATAGAAAAAACAAAAATTAATATGATATAACGTAGTTGGTCCCAAAGTTCTGTCACTAGCACATTATTTTACATTTGACAGGATTTTATAAAAAATTATTGCATTCTATTTTGGAATGTTTGATTTTGTTTTAAAAAAAACAATACTTTCCGTATTTTTCAGATGGAGTGGACATTGAAAGTAAACCGAATAGTTGTTATTGCGTTGACCGTGTGGACACTCGCCGAGTACCATTTTCAAGTTGTCAAAAATTTGAATATAACGCTTAGGTTTGTGTAGGTACTATTGATAGGTACCTTGAATCTAGTTTGAGGACAAGAAAAGAACTGGCTGGCAGCTGCAAGAACACCAGCAGTAATCAAAGCTATCAAGGCGCGGATAGTAAGAAATCCTTCCGAAAACAAAGTTGATGGATTTGCAGATGGGTGTAGTAGGAAAACATAAAAAAGGTTTTAAATGAAATCTTGTCTAGAGCAACAAAAAAGAGTTAGCACTTACTTAATCTGTTAAAAGAATAAGCTTAAGAGATCGCGGGTGTTGTTAAAGGGTACGCGAAAAACCACACCGTATATCCTCTTTAGGACGAAAAATTTTTCGATATTGAAGAAAGTACAATAAACAGAATTATAAGTGTAGCTAAGAGTTCTGAAGAAGCTGAAAATAAAGTTCCAAGGGTGCAAAGGACATCATCCATATAGTAATGGTTTGGTTGGAGTTCTATGGCTTGATTAATTTTTTCGAAAAGGGGTCAAAACCAGTGCTAAGTGTACCAAGAACGGTTTTGTATGCTTGTCAAAGACATTCAGCACCCTATTTGGGGAATACTTCGTTTCAGAGGACTCTGGTCTGCATACAAAGCCAAGACCACTAAAGCCTGGTTTGAGCTCAAAACATCGTCTTAATTAGACATGAGGATTGCCTTCCTATACCTTAATCTTTGGACCAAAATTATGAAGGGCTTAGAGAGGAAGGTCTGTGATAAACCTCATGAAAATTTGGAAATCTGAAGTCATCTTTAAAAACCAGTGACTGAAATGAACGAATATGTTCTGGATAACTCGGAGTTAGGCTGTATTAAAATGAGGGAGTTATTTGAAATTTTTATGCTTTTTTATTCTTAATTAATTTACTAAGAATTGATATATCATATTACAAACTATAGTACTTTGTTTTTATCAATTATTTAACAGAACTTTGGGACCGACTAGTATCACTATCAGAAAAGTATACTCCATACCAAAAAAGGATTTTATTTCGGTTTTTTGCATCTAAGTATTTAACCGAAAAATTCATAAAAAGTTTAGGACAATTAACGAATTTATTTTTCGTGTAATAAGCTATACATAATATATTTTATTTCACACATACGCTTAATTTTATCATTTTGCCGTATATTTTTGTTGTACCACATTGTTTATTAAACAATTTTTTAAGACAAATCTTCTAGGTGAAACACTACTGTAACATTAGTTATGAACAATACTGTAACGTCCCACAGGTTATCGAACGGCGCAGAGTTCCTTCTTCAAGCCCACGACGAGTCCGAGATGGCGGGTTGGGTGGACGCCCTGCGCTCGCGCACCGCGGCCCCCGCGCCCCGCTCCCACACGCTGCCCGCCCCGCACCAGGCCGAGCCCAAGCGGCGCTCCTTCTTCACGCTCAAGAAGAAGTCAGTCGGCACGCTCACCTACCTTTTCTCGCCATAGCATGCGCCTCACTACACGTCTGTACACACTTTACGGGGGTCAGCTTTCCGCCCGAACACCATTTCCATCTCTTTCTATTTTACACTTCCACACACACACACCATTACACTTGACATACACTCTTTAAGTGTTGAATATAACTCTATAAAAGTACTCTTAACACTAGTAGACCTTTATATTTTTATTAATTGTTTTTTGACTGCGTCATTCTTTAACTAGTCAAGCCTAATTTAAAGCTAATAATATATCCCTTATGTATAATTACTATTTAAAGTATTATTTTGTCTCTTTCTGTCAAATTGTGTTTACGCTGTGATGAAATGGGACAGAGTACTGAGGTTTTTGTAAATGAGTTCGCAATTTGTAAATAATATATAGTATATACGTTAAATTTGAACTTATAATTTATAGAATAATTAGAAAATTTGGTTCAATCACACAACAAAACAATTGCATGATCTACTAACACGTCTAACCACTAACTTTTGCATGCTGCTGCAATTATACTAACAATTATTTTTAAAACTGTTTCTATTTGAATCTAATATCTATTTAATACCTAGAATTTAATTTTTGAAAATAAAAAATTATTGATTGTTAGTCTTGAATCTTAATGCATGTGATGAATATTTAATATGTTATTTAGTTTTTATTTAATAATCGCTTTCGGTGGTTTGTGAATAACTATATAACGGGTATAGAAACCGCTTCTGAAAATTTTAAAACAATCCTGAATATAACGTAATATTGTTTTTTAACATTGGTTCAAAATAGCAACATTAATATTGCCCCGGTAATATTAAATTTACATAAATTTTTATTATTTTTGTAGCCCATAAATATGCTAAAAACATGCGAGTAATAAAATGGATTTTTGGGAGCGGTCACTTGATACCCTACTTTATTTTATTATTAAAAAATTGTTTTGTTTACAGCTAAACTCGTGTGCAGAGACAGCCGTACCTCACACGTTTCTCATTAGACCCGCGTCCCCCCGTACTGAGTGCGAACACGTACACGTACAAGCACGCCCGCGTACGTTTCCGGGACGCCGCATTTCTCACGACGCTTGCTGCCGTAAGCTTTGCTAATGAAGAAATCGTGAGCGGCCCTTTCTCACAATTTGTTATTATTTTGTTGCGTACAAATACGTTAAGACTGCTCGTGAGTGTTTGAATCGAGACCCACCCCTTTCGTATAAGGGAGCGTTCAAGTATTACGTCACACAATTTTTGGAGATTATTGACCCCCCCATGTAACGCGCCGTAACGTTTTTGTACCCAAGTAGTATAGTAAAACGTTTCGTGACCACCTAGTGACTCTACCATTATGTGGTGTAAGTCGAAAATAATATTACGCGTAATTCAATCCCCGCCCCGCATCTAAACGTTTAACAAAAGCCCCTTTTGCCCCAATTCGTTACGTTATACTTGAACACTCCCTAACTGTTGTCACTTACTATTTTAAATATGACGTTAAAAATTCTAAATATGACACTATTTATTCGAACTTAGCGTAATTCAGATGATAATTTATTTATATAATATATTGGAAATTAATATATGTATAATATATCCATTTGAACTAGAATTGTATTAACAGCTTGATTTATTAGATTGACCAATAATTTATGGAATTAATTGCATTTGTGGATGGATATGGCATTTAACATTTTATCCCAGTTTTATCTTTTGACGGCTCGTTGGATGTATGAGCTACGTAAGTTAGGAGTAATTTCCAATAATAAAGTGTCTTCTTGTACTTCGACGTCGTTATATTTATATGGATTTCATAGATTTATTGCGTGTAGACTAGATGGTAGTCGGACAGCGAGCGACGTCGGAGTATTGTCTTATATTTGTAAGTATGCTTCGCCTGCGCTTCTATTAACGTATTATTTCTTTATTTAACTGCCATTTTTCACAAATTGTTATTTTATCTTATACGTATCACCTTATTAGATTTACGATCACATTTTTAGTTTACGTAATATTGTATAGATTGCGCGCGGTGTCGCCGCTTCAACGCAGGCGCATTACGTTTAAATATTTTATTTTTAAATTTTACTTTTTTGAGGAAATATAATAAACGATGTTTTCAAATAGTTGTGTGTTTTATTTGTGAATATACGTTGGTCAACACACGCACAACGGACCAAATGCGCGTTTAAGTGCGGAAACTCAGTCAACAATACTTGGTTAAAACAATAGAAAACCAGTTAAAACTACCTTATTATTAATTTAATAATAATAGCCTCTGGCTTTCATACTATTACTGAGTAGCCCCACGAAATATAAGTATGAAAGGGTTATCTAGATGTCGCAGCCAACTAGCTTAATTAGCCGTTCAATCAAAAGCCTAGCTAAACTAAACAGCACCGTTTAACTAGCTGCCTGAATTATATTCATCCCTTGTTTTTTTTGGCTGCGACATAGTCACGTGATAGGAATACTGCGATTAAACAATCATACTTATCACACATGAAATGAAATGGGACTTTCAAAGCAGCGAACACTAGTTCCAAAGGAAAATTCATTGAACGTTTACTTCTTTAAAAAAAAGTGTGTGTGTGTCAGCTACGACGCACGATTGGAGTTTACTCCTTACGAACGATAAAATGGCGGTAATGTTCTGTGGCTGTCGACCATATTTTCATACTAAAGGTGGTAAGAATATATGTTTTTATAATATAAATGTTTGTAGTAGTAATAAAACGTACCTACATCATCTATGCCCAAATAGGATTTTCTTTCTGTGACCAAAGTTACCTTTATAGTAAGAGAAGAATAAGAATGAACAATCTTTTTAGTTTTAATTTCACTGACCATTACTATTGACAAAACTCTATGGCACGCTAGACAATCTACTTTTATTTTTTACACCTGTCAACACTGACAATGTTGTAACGTGGCTGTCAAAACGTGAATTCAAAATAGAAAAGTCTGTGTAATGTATTCCATCTCATTCTTTTACACGTTCAATCCATTTGTCTCTTTCTACATAACGCCTCAACTTTTCGTGTTACACTTGATTTTACTCCTCATAAAATTTCCGTACCGGGCCTTATAACTCAAATCGTTTCTTAAGGAGTAAACTCCAAAAATTGGGAGAAGATGAAATAAACAGTTTAAAAAAAATTAAAATTGTAATTGAAAACAACAAAAAAAAAAGTAGTTATGGAAGAGTTGTGAACCCTGACAGGTGTTTTTTACATAAAAGGGTTCCTAAATGTTACACATTATAATGAAGAAATACTTTTTTCCGGCTATTTCGTAATATTTTCCGTGTTTTAAAATACATTTTGAGCCACTGAGCCAAAGACTAAATATCCTCGGAATACAATGAATTTTTTATCAAATAATTGGGATGTGACTTTTGGGTCAGATATTCCATGTCAAGATAATCTCTAAGTACTCGATATCTCACGGAGATAAAACTTTCTCATCGATAACAGTTCTATTTAGCTTGTTAAACGAAAATGTGGGGATTACTAATACTATCTGGATTATTCATAATAAGCGCCTCATCAATTAGTTCAAGGATAATAGGCGGGGAGCAGAGTGAACGCAGTTCAAGACCGTATCAAGTAAGTACTAAAATTACCATAGGTAGTTGTAAACAGCCAAAACCTATTATTTGCTATGATCCCGTAATATCTCCTTCGTAATAACTCTATTGAGAGGAGTCTACTGCGTGATGTGCAAATATAAGACTGAATATATATAGAACTGTCTCGAAATAAATAAAGATCACATTCCAAAATGTTGTTTTGTTAACCTACATAGTTGTAATAATAATTAACTTTAAAACAAATTTAAAAAGTTTGTTCCCTGTGCCAGTAATATATACGAGTATTTAGTCTTGCAAAGTTAATGGTATGAATAATGTTTTAACAATTGAAAGTTGCAATTATTAAAGCTGAAATTAAATGTTTATTTTGTACTTAACAAAAAATTATCGAGAAAATACATTATTTAGGTACATAAGTTATAGAGCAATCTTCCTTATTTTGTAGGTATTAAGATTCATGTATTTTCGGGAATAAATCTTAGTGACGCAGACCTTTTTCTCATGACCGTCTACGGTAAATATTTGATTCTTCTATAGGTGGCTCTGTACCTTCGCGTTGGAACCACGGGTCAGTTGGGTTTCTGTGGGGGCTCTCTGATAGACCCTCGATGGGTAATTACCGCTGCCCACTGTTGCTTCCATGACGAGCTCATTGTGGATAACGTTCAGGTAACAACTAAGCGACGACCTTATTTAAATAAATATTTTTTTTTACACTATATAGCGGCATACGGCATACGGCATATTATAGGCTTGTAAGGTTGTTAGCTAAGTTCTAAATGCACTTACAGGAATCTAAATATGACATATATTATCAGGCACAATGATAATCTTCTATTTTCCTATAGAAAAATAACAATGAAACAGAAAGAAAATGTGTCAAAGACAGCTGCGTGTTTTGCCCTTTCGAATTCGAAGCCTACTCGGGCTATTACATATAAAAAAAAACATAAAAACGCATTCTTATTTCAGGCAATATTAGGTGCCTTCTCTTTATACGACAGGTATGAGAATGGGCGTCGAATTTTGAACGTCGAGGAAATCATAGTCCATCCCGACTGGGATCCCATGACCTTCACCAATGACCTCGCGTTATTGAAGCTTGCTAATGTCGTCCAAATTACTGGTAAGAAAGTTTGCGGAGTTATAGAATGTGGGTGAATTTGTGATTAATTAAACATACAAATACTATTTGATCATGATAGTTATTTCAAGAAAAAGAACAGATATCTCAATGAAATAGTTTCTTGAGAATAAAATATAGTAATGCATTAAAAAATATTGTAAATATAATTCTGTTGAAACATCTCTTGCTGTAGTTATTGTTTGTTAGTTAGTTAAGTTTAATCCAGAATCTATCATTCCCCGTAAAATGGGTTTAAAACTAGCAGCACACCCACTAGTACACTACTTCGGCAATGTTAGCTTACTTTAATATTTTTTACATAATTACAGAAACTATCAATGTAGCAAGGCTGCCTTATTTAAATATATCAGACAACAATTTCGCTGGACAGGCCGGGACAGCATCAGGATGGGGAATTGCGGCACCACGTAAGAAATAAATCCCCTTTTCCTTAGAAAGGTTTTTTTTACTGTAAACTGTTCTTCTTATCCGGTACACTCTTGACAGAGCGGTCGTGATCGATATGTAGTAGTCGTAATAGAAGGGGCAGATGTGATGCGCTTCACGACGTTTCGCCATCGTTGCCTATTAGAGGTCAGACTGTAAACTGTAATACACAACTATTATCTAAAATAAAAACAATTATTTGGTACTTCTTAACATACGATTAGTTTTTTATCAAGAAATTGAGATAAAATTAGATAATATGAAAGAATAACACGGTACATTTTTCGTTCTTGGTCCTAAAGTTAATTTTATCAGTGAATTATGCACAAAAATAAAAAGACCTATTTTGGTATAAAGTTGCTTTGATAGTTCTAGTAATAATACTTTTTACGTTCATATACCTAGTCCCGCTATGGCACTCGTGATAAGCAATGATCATGTGTAAAATAACATTTATTCAAATTCTTTCATCTGCAATTAAAAATATAAACCACTGTTTTTGAAAACAAAATTAATCGGTATCCTATATCATTTTTTTCGTCTAAAATATCGAAATGTCAAATTTTGCGTTGAACCGTGATTTTATTAATAAAGAAACGGTAATACTGGAATGTAAAATATTGTTTTGTTAATATAATAAATAACGAATATTATATTTTTATAGAAGTGACATTCGTATCACCAACTCTTCGACAGAAGACGATGACGGTGATCACAAACCAGCAATGCAATGCGACAATGTTTGACCAGCTCCCGCCAAACGTAGTCTGCGGTCTTAGTTCGTTCTCGGGAACTTGCAAGGTAATTGTTTAAACTCTGAGTATGCTTCAGAGTCTAACTCTAAATATATCACGTTCAAGAAATTGTTAAAGTCTTGATCTTTACTGATGTAATTAACCTAAAACATAATTTGTAATTCTTAAATGAACCCAAACTACATTTCAATCGACTTTCAATTCTGTTTCTACTTTCTTCTCAATAGATACTTTTTTGTTAAGAAAATGCTTTTGTTCTAATTTCTACGTAAAATTATGCGATCTAATTAATAATATACTTTTTTAGGGAGACAACGGCGGACCTCTTACTGTTGTCTACCACGTAACAGAAGAAGATATATTGGTATGACCGGTTTTCCGATAATTTCATTGTTATAATATCTAAAAAAGAAAACATAATAATAAACACCTATACACAACAATACCATACTTCGGCACAACATTACTACATATATGAAACTTGAACAACACAACAACCCCAACACAAGTTGGGGTACAACAACACAATACATACAACACAAGTTGGGGTTGTTGTACACAGTATTTACAATATTCTTAAACTACATAGTTATAATAATAATGAAATATGGTTAAATAGAAAAGATTGGTCCCTGTGGCAGTGTACTTTTAATGCTGGGAGCATTTCCTCGCTGTATTGCAATACTTATTCGTTGAGCGAGAAAAGCACCAGCTCTGGGTTCACCAGTATCTACCAGGTGCCGACTTAAATTAGCGCCTGTGTAACCCCACCGTCCCAGAGTCTACTCCAAAGGAAAAACATTGGTTTCTTAAAAGATATGACTTTTAATTATCATTGTTGTTATAATGTTATCATTGTATGAAGTAATTTAGATTTATTTTACATTTTCAACTTCAGTTGTAGCTTTTTTAACTACATTTGTCTAATTTTTATATGTATATATGTTATAATGTAAAGATCAGGGGGGTGAGAATATAAACTGCGAAACAAAACAATAGCGTTGCCTTTGATTCTGATTGGTCAACAGCATCTCTAGTCACGTGACATGATAGCAATCCTTCCAATTCCTCCGATACCATCTATATGTTCGCAGAGTGAATTCATGGTAGCGATATTGTGTATATTATGTGTTCAGTATTATATTCTTTATCGTTATAGCATAGTCTGTAAGGATAATGTATGTATTTTTGTATTAAATACATAAATAATGTGTTCAATCACAATGGAACGCAACATTTGTCTTTCGTTCTACATTCTCCCTCAGTACGATTTTTAATTTAACTATTGTTTTGCATAGAACAAACCTATTAAGAAATAAACTATGACGAATTTTATGATTACAGATTGGTGTAGCGACATTTATTGATGCAACTGGATGTAACGACAATTTACCATCGGTGTTCACAAGAGTTCAACTATTTCTTCCTTGGATTAGTAATGTTACGGGTGTCGCATTGGTATAGTCACACTCAAAATCAGTTATTAAAATGTGTTTATTCCAATTAAACTACTTATCAACATTTTTTAGCTTTAATTTATAAAAAGGAAGGACGGAAGGTGGTTAATTTTTGAAGTTATACATCTTTTGGCGCGTTAGGGTAAAATTTACTCTCATCATGCGTGCGCACACCGTCACAAAAAACCGACACCCTGAAGTTAGCTATAGTCAACATTTTAGTTTTTTCTATTGTTAGTGTCGTTTTTTCTACAAACAAAACATACAATTTTTGAAAAGATTTTTATCTTGTTACGCCAAAGAAGTATAACTTCTAACGCGTGTACATAAGTACACACACGTTTTTTTTAATTATAGAAAAAGGGAGTCGTTCGTTAAAAATAAAATAACTCGTTATATAAGACATTTATTTCGGTCATTCCATAGATTACAGACAACAATTGGTGTTGGCTACTAGTTCAAGTGTGCGACAAAGCTCTCCTAAAATGTTTAAATGAAAAAGTTCACATTCTTAACTTACGACTTATATTATTTCATATTCTATACTTTGCTGATATATTTAAAATTATTAAAATAAAATTCATAACGCATGTATTAGCAAAGTACAGAAACATAAACAAAATTATTACTAAAAACTGTTGAGACTAGATATAAGCATAGAACCTATTTTTTTAATTTTTAACAGCTTTCAAAACTTACAATAAAACTGGCCAAACAGGCACACAAACTTTATTAATGAGATTATTTAAATTCATACAATAGCAGATAGCATTTTTATTGAATAAAAAAATAAATGGCTGAAATTCTATACGTATTTAGGAGTAATCCGGGAGCTACAGTTTTTTTATTATTATTTTTGTTTCAAGCAGGTTATCTCCGAATTCCCTTTAGCGTACGAGTAAGTTAAAAACCCGCCTCAAGTACTACTACTACCTCACATTTATATATCTTTAATAGGCAAGTAGGTGATCAACCATTAGATTGAGATAGATCTAAGGTATAGTGTCTTTCCGAGCTAGTGTTGAGTGTTTTTATAGAAATATTGGTGCGCTAGCCAACACCGCTATTCTACGGCGTGTTAATATATTTGCCTTAATTTCGGTAGAGGAACTGTAAAATAACTAATGTAATGGCGCAACAATCCTTTTTGGATCTGGGCCACAGATTGTATATTTTATTGACATGTTTATACAACACAGAATAAGTATGACATTTCCGCTGCGACATCTAGTTGTTTATTCCTTTTTGTATTCGTATAGAATTCGGCCATTTTGTGTCGCATTAGAGAAAGGTGTACAACACATAATTAGCTATATCTACAAAAACTATTTATTTACAAGCCTCTTCGCACCATTTTAATTAATTTTCACTTCACAATTCCATTACTGTTTATGTACAATTCAATGACGGA